AAAAGAAAAGAAGAGGCGGAGGAGACAAATAAGGAGAAACCGCACTTATGGGTGAAAGCATGGATACTACAGCGACATGCTCAAGAGGCTTTACTGAACCTGAGAGGAGAGCTGGAGAGAAATGAAACCTCCCAAGAGCCAATCAGATATTCTGCTCACCGAACGGCCGCCGATTCAACATGTCGAATTGGCCAAAAAAAGGCTGACGGGGTCCGAAGGGTATCGGCGGAGCCGGACACACCCCAAAAACTAGGGTTACGACCGCTCACCGACGGTCCAACTAGGACAGACTGCCGGTGATCTCCTTGGTGTGTCACGGCCTTATGACGTTCTACCATCTCCCAAAAACCAGTGGAATTGAGAGGATCCCATATGCTCCAGCAACAGTCAAAAACATCTTGGTGGGCTGCAAGACCAGGTGCTGCAGTGTCTGGCAGAAGTGCTGGAAAGTCGTGAGACAAGCATCAACTCCCGTCCCCCTCCTCAATCCTCCTGGCCAGCAGCAGCGTTCTTCCGTGAATGTTAGGGTCAAGCCAGGCTCACCACTATACGACCCACAGGATGCCATCTCTCACTTGAGTATCCCACAGTCTTTCAGGAGTGTCTCAAGTGTTTATGTAAGGGATATTAACACCTTATCCCGATCAACAAGGTGATTAAAGGGACTCTAAAAGCACATTTAATGACGTGTAGGCCTTTATTTGCAGATTCAAATAGTCTGGCTGGTATCACATTATCCTAACAATAGCTGCTGTGTGAGCAGGGTGTGTCCTCCTCACACCTAATGACATTAAATAGACAACCATATGTCACATGAAAAGTAAGGCCTCATAGCTCAGTGGTTAGAGCACTGGTCTTGTAAACCAGGGGTCGCGAGTTCAATTCTCGCTGGGGCCTACTTTCATTTTCGACCTTGACCATTGTACACTAACTGCGGCAACGGAGGAATGGTCTTGGCCTTGGGTGCCAGCAGCTATACTAGCAAGAAGATGGCAACACGGTGTGCGAAGGCTGTTGATCATGCTAGTTAAAGAGCCCATATTCTGCCCTTTTTGGGGTTCGTATATTTAATCTATGTACCTACTTTTGTATGTTCACAATAGCTAAAGTCAGAGAAAACTGTCTGTTTTCATGAACTGCTCTCACACTGACAATGACGTCGCACTGACACATTTTTATCGAGGGGGGCTAGAACCGAGCGTTACATGCAGCTAATGCTACAGCTAACAGGAGGACGTAGGAGAAGCCGCGTTTCTGCTGACTTTGAATTTTTGCACATAGATGTGACTAAACATGCACAGGACACTTGGAAAACACTAAAGGGCATATAAAACCAGAAAAAGCCTAATATGGGACCTTTAAGGGCAAAGAATGAGATGGGAGTGGGAAGAGGGGAGGGTAATCTTCTAGTAAGAACTATGGGAACTGGAAAAACTCAGAGCAAGCTTTATTGTCCTGTCGAACCTGATTTCCTTATGACCATCAGGGCTATGTATGATATTCTCCCATTTCCCCAAAATCTCAGCCAGTGGTCTGGAGAGGATCCCACATGCTCCTGCAATGGTCAAATACATCTTGGTGGGCTGCTAAACTCAAGCATTACAGCCATTATTAGCAGCCAGCATTACTCAAGACCGATACACCTCGTGGCACAACCAGAGCATATGGGTTTTGGTAGCAGTAGCTCAGTCTGTAGGGACTTGGGTTGGGAATTGTAGGGTCGCCGGTTCAAGTCCCGGCACGGTGCAAGTCCGGAAACTGGTCTGGCAGCTGGAGAGTTGCTAGTCCACTTCCTGAGCACCACTGAGGTGCCCTTGAGCAAGGCACGTAACCCACCCCCCCAGCTCAGGAGCACCCACTGTGGGCAGCCCCCTCACTCTGAGACCTCTCCATTAGTGCATGTCCATAGGATCCTGTTTGTGTAGCATGTTTACTAGACAGAGTGTAAAAACAAATTTCCCCTCACGGGATTTATAAATTATTATTATTATTAACCGTGTGTTGCAGTGTCTTGCAGCAGTGCTGGAAAGTAGTCAAACAAGCATCAACGCCTCTAATCTTCTCCTGGCCAGCAGCAACCTTGTCCGTGAAGGTGAAGGTAAAGCCAGGCTCACCACTTCAAGGACAGGCACTGGACAGCTAGTCCAAGTGTGCGACTAGGAGATTTTGACAGACTTAGGTGAGAGACTGTTCTTCTCACCTGAGATTGCAGTAACCAACCTCCGACCATACCTCTTACTTTAGTTCTGCTTTCCTCCAGCTCGTCTGAACCATTGAGGTTACAGTTCCCTGGCAGGACGCAGACGATGAAGCGTAAAATCGAAAGAAATTGAGTTGTGCTGACCTGGCTGCCGACGCACAACAACGAGGGCAAAGGTCGGACCGGTTGTAGTAGGCAGCATAGGGTTTAGCCACATCAACATCAAGGCTACTCTGGGAGATGGGAGTGCGAGGAAAGGACCACCGACAGGCAGTCAACGACATCTCCAGAGCTGCGGAAAAAGGGGAGTCAGTGGCTGAGGCATAAGAGAACGGACTCTAGCTAGGCCGTCAGGTGAGTAGATGGCATCAAGGAAGCGACTTGGGACGCCGGTATTCACTGCTGAACCCTCTGGGGGGTTTTGTGGACCTATTAGCGAAACACTGATCAAGGACGGCACCAACTTGTCATTCCACAGGATTCCATCTCTCACTTGAGTATCCCATATAGTCTTTGCGAGGTGTCTCAAGAGTGCATGTAAGGAAATTAACACCTTGTCCTAATCAACGATCTTATGGACATCTTAAAGGGACTCTAGAGCACAATGAATGACGTGTAGGCCTTTATTTGCAGATTCAACTGGTCGGGCTGGTATCACATCATCCCAACAATAGCAGCTGTGTGAGCAGGGTGTTTCCTCTGTAATTACCATTAAATAGTCAACCATGTCATGCATAAGAAGGTAAGGCCTCATAGCTCAGTGGTTAGAGCACTGGTCTTGTAAACCAGGGGTCGCGAGTTCAATTCTCGCTGGGGCCTACTTCCATTTTCAACCTCAATGACCACAAGGCCGGTGAAAGGTAACACTCTATAAACAGGCACTGTTGCTCCTTGATATGAGTGTGACAGTGAGGTTCTATTAAGGACAATATAATCACTCACACTGAAAGGTTCCTTCTCTTTTTCTCACTCCCTCTGGCTCTCGTGTCCCTTCTCTCTCTATCACCCTTTCTGTTTTTTTCTTTCTTTTGAACTCTTGCCATATTTTCCATTCCTTTCCCTCCCTCCCTACTTTCATCTGAGGGCTAAAGTCAGTATCAATTACAGTCACTGTCGGCTGCCACCCTGACAGCCCGGGAGAAAAAAGGCACAGTGAAACTAGCAAATGTGAAACTTGAACACTCATTTGCAGAGAAAGAGAGAAGTCTGTCATCTGTAGACACATTTGCATCACACTGGAGGGTGGATGATCCACCACGAGCGATAGCAGCCAGTAGTAGACTGAACAGAGCTCAATATCCAGTTACAAACATGTAGATAACGCACCAGAGATCAACTTGTTTAAGTAAAAGTTGCATTGATAAGACTACAAGGGGTTGTCAGGAAAAGTCCAAGTAAAGTCACATGGGAAAATGTGGACAGGCCGCTTGCATTTTACACTTCTAGTACCCCCCACCCCAAGATTTTGGGAAGAGTTCTTGCATGTGTGAAAGGTTATCAGACTGCTATAAATTTGAAAAAGCAAACAAATTGAAGGAGAAAACACTCATTCATCACAAACTACATGTTTGTAGAAGCACAAGCTCTGTTCTTGGGCAATGTTGATATACTTCTGATTTTTGTTGTTCCTTTACTTGAATTTGGGCTCAATGTAGACACAGGAATGGTGGACAAGAGGTTAAAATAGATGTTTCTGTCAAACAAGAACATCACTGGGCTACAGTAGCTCTACAGCAGGGACTTGGTTTAAGGATCAGAAGGTTGCTGGTTCAAATCCAGCAAGAAGCAGTTAGTTGTGAATGTTGTCTGGTAACTAAAGTGGTCTCAGTTCACATCATTGGCACTGTCAGAGGGCAGCTGAGCAAACCCATGTGAATCTGTTTGATTTTATTGTAATATCGAGACAAGAGAAAGACTTCAGACAGCTCTGATATGGTTTTATAACTTTGTTTTATCAACATAAATATATGATTTCACGTCTTTATAAATTCAGAGTGAACCAGAGATTGTAAAGGATATTTCACATGGTAAATAAAGGATATCCGTTATTATAGAATCTCTTCATATTTTGTCTGATTTGCTAACTGATTTAGGAATGAGCCTCACAATCACATTTATATTCAAATCTTTTAAACTGAATCGAAATGTGTTGGATTTTGGACTCAATAAACACTTTTGTGTGTTATCATGTATCATTGTCAGTCATATTAAGCTACATTAGTCCAAAGCTGTCTGATTTAACAGACACAGGCGGGTGTTCAAGCTTTACAAAACATCAAGAACCAAAGATCAAGAGCCTACTGACAGATGTTTGTCCACACGGGCTCCACATAATACCTCTGAGCGAGCACTAAATCTGTTCAACAGGTCTTTGTGGTCAAAATAAGAGCTTTGGTTGTAGCTGACCAAATCTCTTGAGACAGAACAACACGGCAGATTAACTTTAAATTAATGTTGCAAAACATACAAGCTGCTGCTTTCAAATTTAAGCTCCACTCCATCGTTCTAAGACTGTGAGAGTATGTGTTAGTGTATTTGTGTATTTTGTGTGCATACTGTATATGTATGGTGGGGGGTTAAACTTTGAAGAGGGCTTGTTGCCAAGCAACACGATTTGGTAAGAGCTGGAAAGACTGGTTGTGGTGAAGGGGGGTGCATTAGGACATTAGAGCAACATGTCTCATTGATTTCACAGACAGATAACAGAAAATAACCTTCTAGCCCCGAGCTGGTACCTGTGTGATTCAGAGCCTGCTGTGTGAGTGTGTGTATGTGTGTGTGAGTGTGTAGCAAAGGATACATTCCCAGGATGACGGCCTCGAGACATTTGATTGGCAGAGACTCCCTGATCATCTCTCTTGCCGTCTCCATTAACCTGGAGGATGGAGAAAACGAAGATGAGGAGGAGATGAAGGAAGAGGAAGAGGAGGGAGAGTCCAGAGGATGTGTGTGAGTAGTAAGTAAAGAAAAGGAAGATGTGCAGAAGGAGGAGCAGAGAACAGGCGAAGTAAAGGGTAACAGCAGGGGGGTGTTACACACACCGGTCTGTATATTAAAAAGGTCGATGTGGACACAGCAACACAGGTTGAGATGTAACAACATGGTTTCCCTTTTTTAAAGTAAAGAGATAAGTTAGTTGAATCGGGTACTTCCACTTTAATTCTACTACAATCAAGATGTTTAGCAAAAAGCTGGACATAAGCAGTACAATTTAAGCACAGAATTGTTTATAATAGTAAACGTGCATATTTTACTACAAATCCTGTAAAAGTAAAGAAAGCAATCTGATCAACTGTAATGCGTGATGAGACTATTTCAAACTATAGTAGATCATTTTTAAGTGATCAAGTTGAGGTTGAGTTGTGTTAGACTACGTTTTATGGCTAACTTTTGTGTATTTACTCCTTTTGACATTCCTTTAATGCCAAACATCTTTATTATCACATCCAGTTTTGAGTCTTGTCTAATGTAAATAGTTCAGTTAAAATATGTAATAAATAACAACAGGTTTCATCTGTCCAGCACCAACAGGAGGAAGTAAACCTGCCCAAACTAAATGAGATGCAACAGTCAGACTAGAAGTCGGCTTCTTGGAAGCACAAGCTGCCCTGTGGCAGTTAGCTCCAGTGAAGCAGAGACAGTTTAGAGCACTAGTGAGGTTGATTGATAGGACAGCTGAGGAGACTGTAGGTCAGGATGTCATGCACAAAAAATGTAGGTCAAACCGGCGTCCAGTGAATAAAGGATTAGTTGGCTTTTGTTCAAGTGTACAGAAAGAAAGAAGTTACGGTCAACGTACCCACAGAGAGGACGGCTCTTCTTGATTTCAAAGAACTGGGTTCCTGTGTGATTGTATCTTGACAGCAGAGTCAGGGACAACAGAAATGTAAAGGTGGTTGACATTATTTTATAAATCGTTCCCTCCACTGTCTGATGCTGAGGTTGGTTTCATGCTGGTTATTTAAAGTCTGCTTTAACTTCAGATGTGACTAGACATGAATCAGACTGGTTTCATCTGTGAGCCCTGATCATGACATCTGATCATGATATCATCTGCTGTTCAGAAGGATACTGCAGAGTCTTCATGAAGTTCTGGACGGCCACCAGCCAATCAGGGACGGACATGGACGGCTTGAAGGTCGGGACTGAAGGAATAGAGTGCTGAGGAGAGAGAGGGAGAAGAGAGATGAAGGCATCAATTACACAGCAGATCAACACGTGGTAATGTTTACAGCCACAAGAACACTTATCAGCATGTTTAAAGTTCTGCCCTCCCACTGCCCTGGGACTCCTTACAGCTCATACTCACTGCTGGAACACATTTACACAAACTGTTTACTCCACTCTCACATCAAACAATAGTCATTCAAAGCTCTTGTGCTAAATCAAGTCGCTAGTTTACCATTACACTCGTTAATAAACAAGCTGTCTGAAAACTACAGAAAACTAGTTTGAAGCATAGACTGTATGAATATGGACGTCATCTCAGTGACATCAGCCATTGGTTGCTGAAGTCGCCATATTGGAAATGATGAGGCTGACTAGTTTTTGATCAATCCAGAAACAGGCAAAGAGGAGGAGCTAGAACGGGGCAATAACCTCTTGACAAACAGGTAAACAGATACAACACACCCACCTGTCACTCAACTCAGTCCCACCCCTCATTTTCTAACTTGTGCATAACTCTTCATCCGACTAAAGCCCCCATACAGTTCTAACAAATAGAGTAATTAGCTAATAAGACCAAAAACATGTAAGTACCAGGATGTGGACACTTCAGGAACTGCAGTTTTTTTCACTTCCTCTTTGGCTTCATTTTCAACACCAGATGTTGCCGCTTGGTTTCAAGGTAAGTTCTCATAAACTAAGCCCTTGATTAAAGTTTAAGCTGTGTTTTTTTTATATACAGCTGTTACAGATGTGCTCAGGTGTACAAGAACTGAGAACATATTCTGACACAATAATCAATATGTCTTTTGTTTTTAACAAAAGCTGGTATTTTTATTTTTGCAATAATGGAGGACATACTGTTTTTCTATCCAAATGTTTTTGTTTTTGAGAATTAAAAGCCCGTGAACAATATTCTGAGTAACGACAATCTGCTCATTCGATCATGGCTGCACCCGCTCGTGGTGGACGTGGTTGTTAGAGCGCTCTGTGCCAAAGAGAGGAACAAACCTCGTGTGTAGCAGAGAGCCGACAGCCGCAGAAGATGAATTATAACAGACAGAGATGATCGACACATAACAAGGGTTGGTCTCTAACCCAGAATGTTGGGGTTATGTTTTGTGCAACAATTTATAACACATACCTCCACTGTGGGCAGAGAAACACACACACACACACACACACACACACACACACACTGAGACTGCACCTCAACACTTCAGGGTCACAGATGTGGTTTCATGAAAGGACACGACCACATCAGCAGAGAGTGAGTCAGACTTAAACACCAACCGACACTTCCTCTGACACGCAGACAGCCTGTGTGGGAGTCCGTGTGTGTGTGTGTGTGTGTGTGTGTGTGTGTGTGTGTGTGTGTGTGTGTGTGTGTGTTTGTGTGCAGGAAGGGTGAACTATCAGCAGCAGCCCTATCATTTCCTGTGGGGTTTTTTTCTTTCCCTTCAATGTTTATTTTCAGCGTAAAAAGAGAGCAGGCAAGGACAACAACAGGAAACATGAAGGGCAAGTCCTGATGCAGGAAGAGTCCTGAAACTGGGTCATGTGTTAGTTATCAACGTGTTCTTATATTAAACTTAAAATGAGGTAGAACCTTTTAACAAGATCAACTTTATGCAAGAATTTAAACACTACTATTTTGTGTAAAAGTTGTTTTTTTTAGCAATCATAAAAGAAGGATAACAAGTTTTAAAATTAAAGTCGTTGTAACTTCCAACATCCATTAATAGAAAACACATTGATATAACCTTTGACTTCCAAAAATAACAGTATATGAGATTTAAAGGTCGTTAACAGTTAGTGCATCTCAGCCAATAAAAGCAGCAGTTCAGTCACTCAAACAAACACAGAGTGAGTGAGCTGGTTAAACAGTCAACCAACTGGTCAGTCTTATAGTCGTCGGGCCAGTCGACAGTTAATGAGTCCGCAGACCAGTCTGACAGCCTGCTAAGACCAGTAAATAGATGGTTTTACTGCCACTTAATCTGCCATGTAGTGAAATCCTCACTAAGGCGGAATACACTGGCTGCATCAGCTGGCAGCCTGACACACACACACACACACACACACACACACACACTCTGCTAAGCTGCTTTCTGCAGGGTAAGGGAGTGAGATGACTGGTGATCCCTCACTTTTCTCATCCTCTCTCTCTCTCTCTCTCTCTCTCTCTCTCTCTCTCTCTCTCTCTCGGCTAAAGAGGGATGACGGCCATCTTTCTGCAGCTGTCGTCCGATTCAGTGCAAAAACTTCCATTCAAAAAATACTCATTTTTAAATGCATTAGGATGAAGTTTTAAACACCGCCAGTGGCCATCTGTTACAGCAGATAACACAACCAAAGCACTTTTTGAGAATAATAAATACAGAGCAGGACTAATGTATGATAGTTTATGAAGCACTCCATGTAAGCTGCTGCTGGTAGCAAATCTACGCCTGAAGAAAATGTGATCTGACGTCGGTTACAGCTGTCGTACATTTTCATACTCAACCTGTGAGTGAACCTGCGGAGGAGGAGTTGGCATTTTTAAGACGCGTCACATGTACAGTATGTTGAGGTGAAGAGTTAGCGTCGCCTACACGATCCTGAGACAGCTAAACGGCTAAAACATAAACATGTCAATAACACATGAAAGAGGCCATCCCTCCTCGTCCTCCAGCATCCAGCTGGGAGAGCGTCACTTCATAGTTCTGCTATTTAATCTGCTCCCTTGTTTTCTCCCTTCCCCCCATTTTCTGTTATCATTTCTGCCTCCTCTACTTGTTCTCCTTCCCCTTTCTACAATCTCAAATCCTCTTTTTTTTATGTTTTTACTTCCCTGTCCCTTCACATGTTTATCTCTTTAATTACACTCTTTCCTGCCTTGTCTTCTCTTAAGTCCTCTCGTCTTTTCTGTCCTCCCTCTCCATCTCTTTTTTCCCCAGCTCTATATTTTCTACCGCCATGTCCCTGGGCTTCACAATCTGGAGGAAAGCTGGCAACGCAACCCACCCAGCATCAGAGAACCAAAAACCAGAGGGACTGAAACTAGAGACAGAGAGATATACAGAGTAAGCAGAGAGAGAGAGAGAGAGAGAGAGAGAGAGAGCGGATAAGGTTGTGACCTTACTGGTTTTCAACATTTGAATTGTTGGAAGGAAATGGGGGATGGGGCGTAGAGAGGGTGGTTGGTGAAAGAAAATGTAAGAGTCAGGGAGAGCTGGTTTGTTTAAAACAATCCATGCACTGCTGAAGGAGAACACGAGTTAATGATGATGTGGAATCTCTCACATTATCAGAGCGATTTATTGGGGTAATAACAACTTGTCAATAAAACTCTGTGCATTGAGAAGTACATTGAAGTGTGCTCCCTTAATCAACCAAGAGGAACAAGCTCACCTAGGAGGGCTGCCATCACTGAGTATGAACTAATTATTGCTCCATGTTGGACGGTAATTAATTGTCAGGACTCTTAATTAGTGCAGCCTGCCAGTAATGCAAACCAGTCTTTCTGAACCACTTCGCATAGCAAAGAAAACTGCTTCTGTTTCTTGTATATTTCCCCCAGGAGCATGATGGGAGATCGTCTCCACATGCATCTGATTTTATTCTAGGTAATAAGGCTCCCTGAAAGCAAACACAGCAGCTTCTGCAGAAACATGTCGTCTGTGACTGGAATGTCTTTAGATGTCTTTTCAATTTCATGTCGACGTCTTTGTACAGCAGGAATGACTAAAATACACAAAAGAAGAAATTTACTCGAGCTGTTTGATTTTAGTCAACCTTGAAATGTCTGCAGGAAGTCATAAAGAGAAGTGTTGAACCTGCACAGTGTACGACACATTTCAGCACTTACTTTTCTTCCTGTTTCATGAAGATACCAAAGAATAAGGATTGATGGGAAATAGAAGAAAACACGCCTCAGATCAGGTGCCCTCTTTGGAAACAACTGAGATGGATGTGGAGGGGGGAGGGAGGGACACAGATCATATTTGATCTGCAGATTTATCGTTAGAGCGGGACATCCCAAGGAAAGCCTCTCTCTCCCTGTGTGTGTGTGTGTGTGTGTGTGTGTGTGTGTGTGTGTGTGTGTGTGTGTGTGTGTGTCAGTGCTAAGAGAGACAGCTGAGAAACATGATTAAGCAAAAATCTCTCCACCTGACACTCCCCATCTCTTACTTCCCCTTCTGCTGCCGGTTATAGAAAAAGAGCAGAACTGCAGTAATAAAACCAAAGATCACCTTGTTTCTGCTCATGTCACATCTGTCTCCACTAATCCATGCTGGCAGGGAGTCATAAATAACAACCTCCAATTCCACAACAAACTATTTGGAGCCTGAATTAAGACCCACGTTTCTGCACACTGGCATTTACAAAATGTTCCTTTAAAAACAACCAACTTAACTTGCACCATGAAATGTGTACAGTCAGTCCTATTCAGTAAGATATCCCATCAGCATGGTATCATTTTGTCACAATTGTCATACAAGCAATTTTTTTTTAATGCTGTATGTCATTGAGATAAATGTAATGTTGCAAATGCTGAAATCTTGAATTTCAAAGTCCATGCGTAACATCGGTTTCTTGTCAACAGGTGCAGAAAACATCCTTAGGGAATAAAAAAAAAGGGTCATGCACACTTATTTTCCTTGTATGGGATGTTGTTTTCCTGAAACCTATTTATCCAGCATAAACAAATCATTTCGCTTTATAACAACGGAGCATCAATGGATTGGATTATGAAAGAGAAAGGACATTTTAATCTGCTTTTCCAGAGACAAAATCGACTGTTTGGTGTACTTGGTCGTGCTCCTGTACTCGAACAATGCAGACAGTTAGCACAGAGTGGAGACGCAATTTGTGTTGGTTTGCAGATAATACCACTAGGTTTGTCTCTCAGAAAAAAGGATTAGAAAAGTGAAGCAATCTAAATACAGTGGTGTTAAAAATAACTCCGGTCCTGTTTTGTAACCCTCATCCTGTTTAAATAGCACGCATTTCAGAGATACTGAGGATATATGCTGTAATGTTAACAGAGCTGAGACAGAGATCTTTACTCAAGACGAGTTAGAGTCCAAGTTGGTATCCAGAGATTATACAGGACCCAGATAGTATTAGAGGGATTACCGGCCCCTGTGCCAAAAAAAGGGGCATGGAAGGGCGGCAGAGGCACCAACTGTGCTCGGGCAGTAAACACAGATGTACGCCGCGTTAAGTCTATCTGAAGGTTCAACAGGTGGAACTTCGACAGCCAATTTGAGGGCCGACTACATGTACTTTCTGGCATCTTTTCCCCCCAGCAATCAATCAAATGTCTCTCTGGATTCTCCTGCTGAATGACATTAAAGACAAAGAATTTCTCAGCGTCCATTTAGTCTGTTTGGTGTGTCCTCATTACTCAATTTTAACACTTTGCTGCGACAATTAGCAGTCAGGAGAGACCTGCAACAGCTGGCCATTCAACAATAAATCTGTTCCACACCTGTGAGTGGGCCTGTACGAGAAGCAAAGACATTCCTCTTGCTCTAACTTCCACACTCTCTAAAGGCTCTGCTGGGTCAGTGTGTCAGCGTCTGCATCAGTGGTAACCACCTGTCGCCACACCTTACACACACACACACACACACACACACACACACACACACACACACACACACACACACACAGGCGGCTCAGGTTGCATTTTTTACAATACAACAATAATGCAACGGAAACCAACCGACAACTCATGTGCATGAATATAAGGTACTGGTATTATAGCAAGGCATGTCCTGACAAAGCATCCAAACAGCCCTCAGAAGAGATAATAATAGTGACAATAAGGCCTTTTAAAAAATCTTCAAAACGGTTCGATGACGTTTTATTTTTAGTTTTGAGTCGGACATATCAGTCAGTAAAGCCTTGTTCACACTTGCACAAAAACTCCAGAAAAGCACCTGAAGTTTTCCTGGGCGAGCTGGATGTCCAGCAGGATGTAATCAGGAGAATTCACCTCAAGGAAGTGGGAGGGGTGGTGATGTTTATTCCCTGTGACCTGTGCACTACCATAGACTGTCTGCACACGACCTGTGTGATCTCTGTGCAGAGTGTGCATGGAATCAAACTGCTGCATCACATTTTCTCCGCTCTTTTGTTGATGTTGTGATTCTGTGGAACTACAAATTCAAATATTGACTTTCAATTCAAATATAACTTCAAATATTCTCAATACATTGTTGTATCAGTCAGTCACTTCTGGGTCGTTCTTTTGACATCATGTCTTGCCTCAGGAGACCCCTGGTCTTATATGGAGAGGTGCATGTGTGAACAACCAGATCAGGAGGATTTCAGAAGCGTTCATCTAGAACATTTCAGGAGTGCATGTGTGGAAACAGCTCAAGTCTTCTTTTGAAAACTAAGAAAGGATATAGGAGTTGTTTTCACTGGAAAAGTGGCTGTTTACTTCTGTGAAAGTTTGTTTGTACATGTTTTGTTGTAATCTGTTTGTTTGTACACGTCATGTCCTCATCTTGCCTTCTGTGTTCTATAAAAGTCCTGGAGCTTCGCACTGTCAGCCAACCGGGTCACTCATGACCACATGGGCCAATTAGCGAAGCTAAACAACAACCAGACTCAAAACATAACAAGTATTCATCACAATCGCTGATGGGAAAAGAATGACAAAAATCCGGGCTGAGGGGCCTCAGCAGCAACAGAGGAGGATGTGTATGATGCCATTTTCTTTCCCCTCCTGAAAAGACTTTTTGTCCTTCACTGGCTTTTCTCTTGGCATCATTATGGCTATCAGTCACAATGTGCTGCTAACATTTTTAAAGACTAGCTGGTAAGCTAAAGCTGTGGATGTAAGGATTTTTTCAACACCATGTGTTTTAAAATGATATAATCTTTGTTGTTTTAATGACGGACAGTTTTAAAAACAACAAAACTTTAAAAAAAACTTCATACAGACGCATATGAGAGGATCTTACATCTGAATAGTTTAGTCTGACAAGAAGAAAAGAAAGTTGATATCAAACACAAACTTTAACGATATAAAGCTAATGTGGTGTTTCAAAAGTCAACAATCCTCAAACTGAGAGGTTCCATTCACGTCCACAAATGAGTCATAATAGCGACTTGTCTTCACGTTAGGGGAAAAATCCAATGTGTTCTGGTGGTTTTTGCTTTATTTTATTTAAATGCTGAACGTCCGTCCGGTCTCCATGACAACAGTCTGTTGACAACGACTGCTGTCTGACCGACACTGCTCCGTTGCTTTTTACTGCATTTCCCGATCAGACACACGAGCGAAGCGGACCATAGATATGACTATAAAAGAGCTCTGGTGACGTCAACAGCGCCGTTCTGAAAAGTTGAAAGATTTTCAACTTGAGCGCTCGGAGCGGCCGCACAAGAAAGGCGGAGCGCTCAGAAAGTCAAAAAAAAGACTCTCAGAAAAAACCGTTAGGTGGACACAGGGCCTAAGCTGTTATTTTTAATTTGTGTTACATAAATCTAAGGTTACTATAAATGAAACACAGAACAGTCTTTGTTACGTTGACACATAAGCAATCATTGATGACGATTAGCTGCACAACAACAACACTCTCCCTGGAGCAGTGAATGTTTTAATGTCTTCTTACTCCATGTCACAGGGTAGCTCGTCTTTTAACCACTGTTCACATAAAACATGACACACACACACACACACACACACACACTGACAGATCCAAAAAGACAGGCTTAACAGCACTTGGCAGGTTTGGCACCTCAACTTAGCACAGTTGTTGTCATGGTAACGCAATGCATTCTGTGTGTGTTTGTGAGTATGAGGGGACACCTGAGTGTGAAAAAGAAGGTTGACATCAGCACCTAAACCGGCCAACTGTGAACACACCTCTCTCCACAGGCGGCCATCATTGATTACAGTAAACAGGGAGACATGTTATCAGATGTCAGAGTCAGCAGCAGAGAACATTCATCTCAAAGAAAGCTATATTACAAGAAGCTGATTGTTTGCAGATACATGTTACCTCTATTTAATATTTTTCTAGTGTTGAAATAATTACTGCACAAATCAGTTAGTCAAGACCTACAGCTATTGGTCAATGAATCAATAAACCCTTAACCAATCAGAAAAAACTTGAAAAATAAATCAAAAGTCTGTGGCACACTGAAAATAACTTTGCTATATATTTTTTTATATTGCGTGCGAACAGCGCGTTTCGCCTGTAGCTTCCTCATATGTTAAATCCTGCTTTGCATCTTTGATCTTTGAGAGAGAGAGAGAGAGAGAGAGAGAGAGAGAGAGAGAGAGAGAGAGAGAGAGAGAGAGAGAGAGAGAGAGAGAGAGAGAGTGGGGAATGAAATGCAGGGAAGAAGCCACAGGTCGGATTTGAACCCGGGGTTGCCCGCTTCAAGGACTACAGCCTCTGTACATGGGGCGCACAAACTAGCCACTAGCCCACCGGCGCCCCAGCAACTTCCCCTTTAGATTAAAAATAACCCACAGACGTTCTGATGAAATCCAATGTGTTATATGAGGTCAGAACTAACACCCAGATCTTTCAGGGGTTACAGTGCATACGAGTGCCTGAACAACACATGAGCCACAGTGCTCATTATCAAGCTAATATGAGTCTATCAGAGACACAGCGGCATCAGTGTAGTTCTCCAATATGAATCACTTTTTGTACTAAATATTAAAAATGTAATAAATGATTTAGAAATGGTGTCTTTGTGAGGTTTGTGCAGCCGAACATCTGCTGACTCCATCGTTTGACAATACTGACAGCGCTGCCTGCAGCACATGTAGCAGAGCGTACAGCAGAGGAGCAGACGGTCATCCATATCAGAATTGGTTAATACTAATGTTGAATATACAAGTTATTAGTTGAAGAAAGCAGCCAGAAGAACATGCATGCAAAAATGTATTCATCGGCTGCAGTATTGATGACCAGTACAAATTTTCAGCCTAAAAATCTGTATCCTTCTGGGTCTCAAAACACTAGATCTGTTGTGTGTGTGTCATCATACAGCCTGCACCTAGCCCACTCCTCCAGCAGAAACCTGAGCACCTGGCCCACCCCTCCTCCTCTCTCCTGTCTTGTCACATTATAGCACAACAGGGGCCGCGTCCAACGCTTGAAAGTGCAGAGACCTTTTGGATTCCTTCACAGTGCAGCAGCCACAGGGAAACCCCAGAGGATTCCATTAGGGAAAGCCTTTCATAAAGAGCCTATTAATACTGAATGAACTCCCATGAGCCTCCGAGAGATTTCTGCTGCCATGTGAACACCTCTCAACTAGTCTCACACCCAATTGTGATGATCACGATGTCTTAATGTCCACGTCCTAATGACAACCTCCTTTGTTTCACTCACCAAGATTAACAACACAGGCACATATCCAAGCCTCTGTCAATACGTATTTCTTGTTTTGTACGGCATTATTTTCCAGGTATTTAATCCAGCTGACTCTAGAAAACATCTCAAGAAGCTGCACTTTATAATATCGTCATATGTCATATATTTAATGTCCATTTAACAACTCAGCTACAAAACTAAAGACAAGTGGAAATGCTTGAGAGTCTGTTGTACTAGAGAGCAGCTTTTCAACCCTCAGGATTCATATCTCACCTTAGTTGGAATATGTAATTACATGTCTACACATTCGAACACTGAAGGGTGAACTTACCTTGGGAAGGTATGCAGCATTACGTATCCTATCCACCATCTCCTGTCCCTCGGGATGCACAGCAGCCACGTGGGACCACATCCTATCCCAGGTCACGCTCTCGATGGGAAAACCAGTCCTGTTCACATAGAAGAGAATCCCTCCATCCTTCTCCTCTTCCTCCCCAGGGGACCGTGAACCGGTGTTAGGGGGAGACGTGGACGAATCCTCCTGGGTGCTGCAGCGGAGGAGGCAGTGTGCGCTGGTGCTCTTGGAGCGGCCGTGCCGGCTCAGCTTGGCCGGGGAGGTCCCAGCCCGGCTCGGGGAGTTGGGTCCCGTCATTGAGCCAAACAGAAAGTAGGAGAAGGCAATCCTCCTCCGGCTACAAGAGCTTCTTTTTGTTTGTCAGTGTTGGACGGTCCATGCTGATTCTAAAGGGCAAACCTGAGAGGGAAATAAAAACGTCAACATTACTAGGACATAATTTGCTTCCCAAAAAAACAGGACGGTGTACCTGCATCTGCAGAGCAATGGTCATTTTAAAATTTCCATAAAAGGTACAGAAGTGTTTTACCAAGGAGCTTCCCACTGAGAGGTATGCACCCTGAGAGGATTTCTGCATGTCCTATTTTGGAAGAGGTATGATGGTGCAACAGCAAAGTATAAAGCCTTGACAACAGGACAACAAATACCTTACTATAAAGCTATGCTGCTGTAAAGAAACCAAACTACATTGAGTTCTTTAATAGCAATTCTCCATATAATCAGAAAGCATAATTAACACATAAAAACTGAGACATTTTAAGTCCAAAAATGATTACAAAACACTCTTTGGGAGCACATTATGTAGAATTTAAAAAAAAAAAAGTTATATTATTATTATGCCATGGAAACCAAAGTTGTTCAATGGTAATTAAAAAAAAATCAACAATTAATTGATTATGTGCGGGTTTAGTTCTAATGGTGATGATACTACACTTAAAAACACCTTTAATAAGTATAAACGGTATGCTAGTATAAATTCTAAATAAACTGCAAAAGTTAAAATATAAATAAAGGAATTTTTCGTTTCCGGTGAAAAATATCCCAACCGTTATGACTCCAGCCGTACCGTATTTTTCCATGGGGTGCTCCGATTTGAGATAAAAGACGAATCCTGCGGGTTTGAAGGCATTTGAGTCGAAGAACACGCAGGGAGACGAGGTAGGTCCCATTCATAACAAGGCGTCGTTGTCCGCTACAGGCTGTGAAGTCTTGTTTTGGTCCGAGGCTTTGTAACTTCACCCCGTCTAGTGCGAGTCAAGCTGCCGCCCGCTGACACCCGCTGGCTTTGGAACACTGTCAAAGTAAAAGCTGGATGTTTTTACACTTGAGTTAATTCGAGGAGAATTTATGAAGACTTTTTGGTAAGCAATTAACTTCTACGTGTGTTAAGATATTAAGAGCGTGGGTTCAAGTATTATGTTGAAATTCTAATCAAATCAAACCCTGTTTTCGTCACGGCGTTTTAATCTGAAAATTTACTCCGGAAGTCCTTCTGTATTGCTCGGTTGCTCACTCTGCTCCTCTCACTACACTGCGGGGGCCGTTGCCTCCCTCCATCCCTGTCCGGGAAAATGACCTCCTCCGTTGCATCCCTTCTCGTCAGCAGCCTGCACGGCACCCCATCCTTAATATCAGTCCAGCTTCATGTTGAAAGAGGATCCATTTTTCCAATCCTTACGTGATGAAATCATTGTAGATAACACGGTCCAACATGCTAGTAACAGCTCCCCCGTTACCTCTCTGCTGCTCGGTTCCCCGGCACTTGGCAGCGGAGGATGGGCTCTCATTGGTCGAGCCAACAAAGAGGGGCGGGCCGAAGGGTACGATGCACCTTATTTGGTTATGACACCGCTATGTGATTGGTGGATTTTGATCGACGAAGGCGTCAACAAGTGATATATCTGCAACAAATGGGATTTCTGCCCCTTGTTGCATCTGTTGAATTGTGCATTTTGTTAATTTCTACGTGTTTGAAGGGTTGTTTCACAAAATGTTCATATTAATTTAATTTTAAAACAATAAATATAAATGTATATATATATTTTAAACACATTCGATCAACACACACACACACACACACACACACACACACACACAGAACATTTGTTCTTACAAAACAAGGTTGCAAAAATTGATGCATGATATTACAGGAAGGTATTTTCATCTCAATACATTACTCAACCTTTGATAATTATGCTCATGCTTAAGTATTATAAAAACATGAACAATTGTACATTAATGCACATTTATCAAACAAAATCTATTTATCTATCTATCGATATATTTTGTGTCAAATCACCTTAAATATTGGTCTTCTGCTTCGATATTGCAGTAGTAACTTAATTCACAGCTCCCTCTTGTGGACAGAAGGCGTGTTACAGGAACAAAAGTGAAGGCTGGGTTGTGCTTAAAACAACACTGCAGAATTAAAGATGCCATACAGAGAATATTTACACTAAAATATTAATTAATTATTAAACCAATATTGTTTCTATATTTGTTGTTGAGTACTTGCATTACCTCAAAGACTTCCAACAGTTATCAAACCCAGAGAAATCCTTCTTTTAATTCGCTGTAACGGGACGTGACCTGTCTTGATGGCCGCCACTACTGAGACAGACATGACGTTTGTTTATTGTTGCCATGGAAACACTGGATGTTTCCTCAAGGACTGCTAAGGGATCTTGAACTGTTACTGAAAGCTGGCGTACTGTCGCTGTATGTGTTGCTGTGATAAAAACGTCATGTAAATTATACTCGGCGACATCAGCTCGTCAGTAAACACGTTCTCTTCCTCAGGTCGGTTTCGTCCCTTCGTCTTGACTACAGCACTCTGAGTTCATTTTCCTTCCAGGTGGCGTTGGAGAAGCAGAGAGAATCACTCCAATGAATCTGGATACAGTTGTGCAGATGTATATGTTTAGTAAGTTTATATTTAGTAGGTCAGTTTTGAGATCTGAATATTAAAGAGAATTCACAATATGGAAACTAATTAGAAAGCATTCTCACTACTGTAATAGAGCTCGGTATGCCACCTGCTCAGCAGCGGTCAGGAAGGCCCTCCAGAGAATCATCAACAAGGCACAGAAAGTTATTGGACTCCCACTGGCCTCACTGGAGGTCAACTTCAGTCTCCTCAGAGCCAGCTGCATTGTGAAGGATGTAACTCACACCTTTAACTACCATATTTGTCTGCTGCCCCACAGCCATCACGGATCTTAACTCTACAGGAACACTACCCCAAACACCAAAGACCAAGACACACAATTACAATTAAATACATTCTATGGAAAAAAAAAAAAAAGATACACACATGCACATTTATAAAATAAGGGGGGAAAGTAAAATATAATTAAAAAAAAACTTTAATGACAAAATGTTGCAAAATTATTACTGTCCGTATTAAATAAAATAACCAAATGGAGTACATTGCCATACATGATTTGTTAATCACAAATATTCTGCCCTAGAACAGTTTCTGCAAAAATGACCATAATTACAGACATTACCAAGTCTTTACCAGCCTAGCTCAAAATATGTGACAGATCTTTATCCCGAAGAAAATGAATATAAAGGCCCCAGATATCGTCAAATAATTCTCGTTTGTCTTTAAGTGTATATGTTCCAGAGCCAAGCACAGAGACATTTCATTAAACCATCGTGTAATACTCAGCCTACCACTGTTTTTTTACTAAACATTTTTTAACCTTTTTAATGTGCATTACTGCCCAGAGGTTCAATGACACTGTACACTGTAAAACAAAAAGTCATGATGACATAACATTCTCAGTTAGTTTTACTTCAAGTCTATGAAAATGTTGTTAACTCAATATTATACGTTTATGTCACCTCAACTAATTGAAAGTTTTCCAACTTTGAAAAGTGATTCATATTAACTTCAAAATGGCGAGCTCTGTTTTTGATTGAGAGGAGTATTTCTCTTACCTCGTTGGATGTGGATGGAGATGGAGATGTACCTGTGCTGGGCAGTGAGTCTGAACGTGCTCTTTTGTAATCTAGAGAGGCTGAATTTCCCGTTTTTTTTGGTGAGTGACGCTGTCATGCTCATGATGCCGAGTCCACTACTGCAATCAATAAATGACAATCTGGGGTGCTGGTGGCTCATTGGTTAGTGCATGTACCCCACATATGGAAGCTGAAGTCTTCCAAGCGGGCAGCCCAGGTTCAAATCCAGCTTGTGGCTCCTTTCCCTCATGTCATTCCCCACTCTCTCTCCCCCTGATTTCCAACCTATCTCTTCATTAAAGGCACAAAAAGCCCAAAAATAAATCTTAAAAAAAAAAATCAGGTGAGATTTCTCCCTCTTTTCCTCTTTTCCTCTGTCAAAAGCCATAAAAAGTGCAGAAAACAGCAAAATACAAAAGCAAATAGTTACCATTTTATTGCAGATTTTGTGTACATTTTGGCTTTGAAGGTGTCCATAAAAAAAGACTAATGCAATCAAATCAACTTTGCTAGTTTGTCACATATCCAAGACTCTTATCACTATTCAACGAATAACCAACCATTTAAAGGGTTACAATCCTGAAAATAATTGAATGTTTTGAGCAAGTCGAAAGTTGTTTAACTTTAACTAATGCAGCAGAAAAATATAAATACAATTTAAGGAGGGTACAAGGGTTCCAGCGGGGGTTGTTGTACCTTGGCTGTAGAAGAAGCTCGTCACGAGGCAGGATACTGCTCTCCTCTATGGCGGCGATCAGCTCTGAATCCGTTTTTGTTTTTGTCCAGCATGAAGAACGCCACACTCCGTACACTTCCCCTGTCAAAGTCAGTTCAGTTAGAATGATTAGTTGGAAAAACATCAGTGACAAACATAAAAGACGGACGAGGCAGCAAAGATTTAGTCCAATACATTTTAATTCATGGATACACCACAAAGTATTATCTCTCCGTCTTAAAATAAAACGTGTAAATGAAATGTGGTACTAAATATGGATATCACCGTCCTAATTCGTGCCAGTGGCGCTTATGACATTAGTGAAAGTAACGTAAACAAAGTTAATTGGGGACAAATGTCAGTCACCTTAACGGCTTTACATGCAATTTTTTGATCCAGCAGATGTCGCCCTTGAGCACCAGCATGAAACCAAAACAACTCGTGCTGCATTGTTGTGTTAGCATGCTAATGCTAGTGATCTTTATTATGCTCGTATCTTCACACTGCATGTAAATTTACCTGAAATGAGCGTGATCTAGAAACACAGTTAAGCAGTGAGTACAGTATGTTATTCTTCTTTTCTCTAGTCCCTCAATTTAACAACTTTTATACACGAGGGGAGGAGTCAGCCGGCCGTCCGGGCGATGTAAACAAAGTGAAGATAGGACTCTGAAAACTCTGAAAGCATCACAGACAGTGGGACTCGGGTGTTACACCCATTGTAGACAGTCATGACTCACAGAGTTATTTTCAGAGGAGATACTTGATTTATATTTAAGTATAACTTTTTATACTTTAACTTTTTACAGTTTATTTTTGTTTGTTTTTAACAGTCCACTTGCTTTGGTTAAACATTACACCATGAGTACTTTATTGTTAGAAATAGATATGAATATCTCATATCTTATCATGAGTTCACCTGTAACATCTCTTATACACTTGTATATCGTAAAATGGGTTTTTCATAGAAGACACACCTTCTCAAAGACTGAACGTGAAAGTCTGCAGTCCTGTTTCTTGTGCAGGTCCAGGAGCTGACAGAGGTGGGAAACCAGGGACTTCAGATTCTCCACCCCTTTGGAATCACAATTATCCTCCTTAAGAAGAACAAAATTAAAACATAGGTCAGGGAAGGCTATAGGGCTGCAGACGCAAGTGTTAAGTTATAGACACCTGTATTTACATACGTGGTCATCCCATTTTGCGTTCTTTTTTAATCCAAAAGCATTGCTGAATTTAATATAATCCTACAAAAAAGGAAAAAAGATCACTCTGGAAGCTGTCTCATTAATGATGATGATCATTTACAGAGGATATACTTGATTTCTGCTTTATTTATGTGTAAAATGTTGCACATTCTTCCTTTACCAAAACTTGGGTTTTGTTGACCTGAGGGTGTACAACCCCATTGCTGATGACGTGACCCAGGTACTCTGTCTCTGCAGCAACAAAGACGCACTTCAATGGGTTGACAGTCAGCCCGGCAGAATGAAGGCGCTCCAAGGCAGCTTGCAGGTGTTCTAGCCACGTGTTACTGTAATTGATAATGCCATCCAGATATTACTGTGAACTGGAAAGGACCCCATGGTGTCCTGAAGGCTTTCCTAGCCTTCCTTCATCAATTCTTTGTGTTGAATAGGTATCAAATAAAGAAATTGAATTCAGGTACCTGAAATCAATGCAGAACATTATTCTTATATCCTTCTTTGGTATGAGCATCACTGGGTTACACCACTTAATGAACCCCAGGGACAGCATCAGGTCAACCTCCCTCCTCAGTGAGGCCAACAGGCCTTTAAGATTTAAGTGTCAGGTGATAAATAAGAGAAGAGCTTCTCACCCACTTTGTCACAATGTTAAGTATTCCATGCGCTGATTCAGCTGACTGTAAACTCCCCTCAGTGTTACCTTAGGGCTGATAATGCATTGATTAGCTGCTTCCACAAGTTTCCACACAAGCAAAGAGAATCACTAAAAATGTATAAACTAAACTGATTTAAGTTGACTAAAATAGAAATAGTAAATTTAAATTGAATTCATTTAACTCAATATTTTAGGTGGATACAACTTTTAAAATATTTGAAATTTTTTGATTTCAAGTCAAAAGAAGTGGAAAGACCATTTTGCCTTAACTCGAACTAGGAACTGAATTGTGATTTAAAATTTTGTTAACTTAAAGATTTAAGAACAACTGACTTCATGTCAAGTTTATTTTACTAGAACATTATTTTTTCTTTGGAAAAATCACATTTATCTCAACTTATCTTTTTAAGTTCAGTTAACTTAAAATTTTAAGGCAGCTGGGACACTAACTTTTTAAAGTTATAACAACTACAGTTTTTTTTTTTTTTACAGTGTAGACTGCACTGAATGCACTCGATTTTCTTAAAACTTGCTTTTATCTACCTGTTGAATACTTTAAAAAAATGTTATTGACGTGTGTGTGGAAGAATGTGATGAATGATACTCTTTGTTTTAGAGAAGCACAACACATTTCTTTTGTGCAATGACAATAAAGGCATTTTATTCTTAAAGGAAGAATGTGAAACATTTTATACATCAATAAAGCAGAAATCCTGTCTCTCCTGTGTAAATGTGTCTCTGAGTCATGACTGTCTACAATAAGGGAGAAGCTCGAGTCCCGCTGGCTGTGTTGTTGTCAGAGCCGTGTTTACATGGACGGGACGGCCGGCTCCTCCCCTTGTGTATAAAAGCTGTTTTAGTCAAGAACTAGAGAGAAGAAGAAGAACATACTCACTGATCATTTGAATGTCACATCAGTGTCTTTAGATTACAGTCATTCTGTGTCAGTTTATATGCAATGTGAAGCTACAAGCTAACTAAAGAGCGCTAACATTAGCACGCTAACACAACAATGCCGGTCACAGGTGATTGCAGCTCGAGCAAAGGACAATTTTGTCCGCCGCTTATGGTGCGTTTTTATTCACAACTACTTCATGTGAATGTGAGTGGAGAGGCGTTGGAGGTGTGTCGCTGGAGGAGAACGGAGGCTGCAGGATGGAGGAGGCGTGGCCAAACAGCACTCTGTTTTGGTTTCATGCAGGCGTTCAAGGGCGACATCTACTGGATCAAACAGTTGGATCAAAAACTGAAAATAACTATGTGCCTTTTTCACACCAGTAGTTCTTAAGTAATGAGTTAAAAATAAGTGTATCTATACTGTGAGAGTTTTTGGTTATTTGACTGAAGCATAGAGGGCGCTGTGATCATCTGCAGAGGAGGTTTTCACTGCGCTGTATATCACCGCTGTATATGTGTCATCGTGTTTGACCTAAAGGACGAAAAGGGACAAAGTCAAACACATGGATTGTTTCAAAATGATACATAAAATAACAAAATGCAAATTACAGCAACACAGACATCCTCATGTGTAACAGAACATATCAAACCACACTTTTAATTCAACACAGAGTGGCCGACATAATGATCTTTAATCATAACATTATTGAGGATTACTGTTTTTTTCTTTCAAGACAACTCAGTCTGTATGTGGGACAATCACACTGATGTCTTACCTGAGCTTTCCTCTTCCTCTTGATGTGACTGATGGAGACGTAGGAAACGTCTTCAGGATCAGGCTGCAAAGAGAACAAGACATTCGGTTTGGATTTATAGAAACTCACTTTTTAACATCATGTTCCTTCGCTTCTCTTTTCCGATGTATCTTTTGTTCCTCTGGTTATGTAATGTCTCTATTCATCTATCGGAGGATGTCGTAAAAAGTTCAGATTTTTAAAGGAAGTATTCAAAGCTGAAACTGACTGAGCCTACATATTATTAATAATTCTAACAGACTGTGTTTCCTGTTTTGTTGCAAGGCAGCTGCATTCAAATTGTCTTCATCTCTTCTCCATTGACTGTGGGAATAAGCTCACAGTGTGCATCATGAAGTTTTTTATCTAGCATAAAAACATACAACGTTGTAACTTTTGGCTGTGATCTCACTTTGTTCTGACGGATTTCTGGAGCGGATTTATTATTTATTTCCTGCACAAACACATTCTTTTTACATTTTCACAAATATATATATATATATGTATATGTTTTGGAGCACTGATGATGACAGGATGGATCAGTTGTTTCATTTAGTTGTTTCTAAGCTGACCACATTTGTCTCTAAAGCCTGGAAGAAATGTCAGGATGGTTTATTTCATCAGTATTATTATTATTAAATTCACTTCAGACACTCACCATGTTTTCATCCATTTGGGTTATTTTACCTGACAAAAGAAAGAGAGAGACAGAAACAGGTAAATTGAGCTTTGACATTGAAAATCCAGGTGTTTCCATTTCCTGTTTCATATGCGATAGTTCCCACCTTTACTTTTCTTCCGTCTAATGATCACCACAGCAGTCATGAGAAGAGCAGTCAGACCCACAGGCACGATGATGAACAACCACCACAACTCTGGAAAAAGGAAAAAAGGAAAAAAGAGTTTCAGGACAGAGTGTGTGTGTATTTGTGTGTGTGTGTGTGTGTCTGTTTCACATAAATGAACGAGTAACGAGTGCTTTGTAACACATTAATGAATCTGGAAAGTTACTTATTAGTTACTTCTAATAGTAACATATTATTCCAAACACTGGTTGAACTTGTGACCATTTAATTTTTTTCTTGAAATGTCAAACGGGGAGAAAAGAATCCTCCCCTAATTCTTCTCACTTGGCCCTTATAGTCTTCCGTCGTGATTAATCCTTTGACTTACAGAGAAAGAGAAAAACAGACGTTCACAAAGGCTGACAACAAATGTTACCTTTTGGATTTGTTGTTGTTTGAATGTTTCCGAACACAGTTTTGTTTCTCCCTATAGGTGAGGGATACAGGGTGTAAGTTTCACATCAGGATGGAGATTAATATTTCCAAAAGCTCATCTCGTTTCGCTCAGTTTGCTCACCTGAGGACGGAGGGTGGAAGGTGAACTGCAGACTTCTTTCACTGTTTTTCTCCCTTACGTTGCATTTTAATAACTCATACTTCTGTGATGTGTAAATGAAATGATTAGTCTTGAAGGTCACAGTGGCCAAACAGCGTAGTTTGTGTGTGATTAAGTCTTTGTGATCCACATGTTGACCCTGAAACAGCCACTCCACTGTGTGTTCACATGTTCCTCGTGTCAACAGTCTGCATTTTAAAATCACCGTACTGCTGTCCTTTTCTTCAGTCACTGGCGACGATGGAGACATTGTTAGAGAAAAACACAGGATGTATAAAAAGATGGACAGCGTGACAGCTACCAAAAAGTGAAGCCAAAACATTTGGAGCGCAAACAACATATTGCTTTGTCTTTCTGAGGTTGATTTATCGTTTGGTGCCTGCGTTGCTTAAAGTGATGAAAAACACAATCATGAGTCTGTATATTGTGTATTAATTAAAAAATGAACAGACGCTCTGTGCATTTCCTTATCTGACTTCCCGTCCTGCTTGATCTATTCTGTCCAGCTTGACGTGTGCTTGCAGCGCGCTCCATTGACAATAAGACTTGCAGAGAGTAGCGCGCCGCTCTGGAGACGGATCTCAGGCAGCGCTCGCTGTGGAAACAGGAGCATTGACTGGAGTCGCCCACGGAGTGTGTGGAAAATAACAGTTATGTTGTTTTGGTCAGAGGAAGAGCCGGGACGTCAATACAATCGCTTTACCACCTGATCCCTGCTGCACGGACTATAACATGTCAACAACATGTCGGCGCCTGTCCTAGGGGGAATTTTGGCTTCAATTTTGTTTCAAAATAAGGAGGCACCTTGTCCATCTTTAGAGACACTCAACAGTGGAAGACAACTCGCGTAAAACTCTTCGAAACAGTCATTATAACAAACATGATGATGTACTTACTGGTAACAACATCCACATCAACTACAGCTTCTCCGTCTTGTCGTTGTCCCGGTTTTTCCTGAATACAGAAGTATCGACCAAAATCCTCCTTTGTGGCGTTCGTCATCACCAGAGAACAGTTTGCTGTGATTCTTAGTCTGTCTGTACGTTTAATAATCCGCCCACCTTTAACTAAGTCTACTGCGGCCATCTTAGCCAACTGACTGAAGCTCCATGCCGTACCGTCACAGTTATCATGATCGCTGAGAACATTTTCACAAGGCAGAATGACTTCATCTCCATCTCGGACTAAGATGGTGAGGAAATGTGTTGTTCTTGCTGTAAAAGAATCATGAATAGGGAGTATTTTACACAACACCAATTAGTTTTAAAGTCCCTAGAACTTTTTTTTCAAAGCAACAATGCTCATAAAACAGCTTAATATTCAAATTAATATATCTTGTAAAGGGATATGTGTTCTTACCTGTAACCTCAAGCACCACAAAAAGCAATAAAAACATCTGAAACCCTCTCAATTCAACCATCATTCTGTTTAATCTTTGTTTTCCCGTGTCTCTCTAGGTTTCACACTCCTCTCTCTAGCCGTACTTATTCATAAATGTAACACTGCATGTACATGCCTCCTGAAAGTTGCACTTCCTCATTGTGACTTTGGGTGTTTTCTATTTTTTTTTAAAAATGAAGGCAGAGTGCATCATCTCTGACGTAAAACCACATGTCAGAGGAGTCACCAACAAGTCAGCGCTGTGACATGAGCCAGGAATAGATTTCTATGTAAGCCCTGATAGGCAAGTGGTTTTCTCTTCCTTTTAATTAAACCTTTAAATCTACAAAACCGGTAAAAAATTATGTTTTAACAGGCGTCAAATAGAATCACCAAAAAAATATGAGAAACACTTCAAGATATTTTTTTGCCTTAAAGGTCACATATCCTCCTCCTCTTCAACCAGTTTAAATAAGTCTCAGAGCTCCTCAGAACATGTGTGTGAAGTTTCTTGTTCTAAATCCACTCTGATCCTGTATTTGATCATGTCTATAAACCCCTCTATTTCAGCCCTGCTCAGAACAGGCTGTTTCTGTGTCTGTACCTTTAAATATGTAAATGAGCTGTGTCTGACCACGCCCCCTCTCTGGAAGGGCTTGGATGTACTGCTTTCTCGTTCCATGTCCTATTGTTTACGGTGAGAAGGCAGACTCAGAGGGCAGAACAAACACCTAGCTGTGGGAGTGTCACCCACCTGGGGGAGGGGCTACTGCCCTTTGTGATGTCATGAAGGGAACATCTCCAAACGGCCTGTTTGAGCACACATTTTTTGTTGTGCGTGGGTCTGTGGTCGCAAAATTGGTCCTATAATTGTGTAGTGTGTATCCAACCTATATAATAAGATATTATTGATCACCCATTGGGGTAAATGTGTTCGTAAAGCAGGTCATCATTTATTTCTGTTGTAGCTGTATGAAGAAGTCAGTTGGCACTTAAAGAGGGTGTTTTAATGTTACACCTTGCTTGAAATGAGTCCAGTGTTGGACCCTTGTGGCTTTCTCAGTTTGAAGTTTAGTGTGACTTTTTTTTTTAGCTTCAGTGTCGATAACAGATGTCACAAACCACTTCCTCTCATCCTCTCTCTTTTATTTCCAAGTTAACTACATGCACAAATTATTGCATATGAAACAAAAATAGGTAATACAATGATAATTTACACCAATAAAGAATACATCTTATCAACATTTAACTTTATTTTAAGTTAAAGATACATGTAAGAGCTGCAGGGGGGAGGAGTCACATTCATTGGTCTATCAGGATTAGTGACATGAGCTGTAACTATCCTGTTGTCTCTCTCTTGTTTGGTTTGTTGACGGTGGCGTACAGGCTGCTGGGGTCAACAGAGGCTTCAGTGTCAGAGGAGGGGACTTTCACAGTGCTGTACGTCACACCTTCACCTTCGGCATCTCCATCAGCCTTCAAAACACAGAAAGTCCACCAAAGGGATCATTTTTTATCTTGTTGATCATCTTGTCTGACAGGAGAATTATTTCTGTGGAAACTAGTTATCTTGCATCCTGTTATCTTGTGTTGCAAATGAACACAAGATAACATCTGGCATCAAACTTTCCCAGCAGTCTCAGCTGTACTTTGTGTTCAGACCTAATTAGCACATTATATGTGACCTGGGACAGAGCCAATCAAAGTTTAATCAACCCCTGACCCCCCCTCTGGACACAGCCCTGACTGTATGTGAGCATGCTACGATGCTAAATTTGAATAGCACTTATGACGCACTTATCAGTATGTCAACACTTTTATTTTTAGTGTGCTTTAATAGCATGCTACAGGATGTTGTGTTGTGTAATCACTGAGCTTACCTGAGCTCTACTGTTGCCCTTCTTGGTGTAGCTGATGGAGGCGTAGGCAACAACATCTTCATGCTCCGTCTACACAGTGAAGACAACACACAGTAATGACTAATCAGAAGCAAAGGGAAAAATGTAGCTAGGTGGTGTAATATGACTTCTGCTTTTCTCCGGTGTGGGGGAAGTTAGACTCTTCTTGAGAAAAAGAACTGCCTCATTCTGCTCTATACATTGTGGTGTAACTTTAAACTGAGGGGGAGGGTGTCTTCTCACCTCTTCTTGACTGGTCTCTGGACCCTGCTGAGTCACTGCAGGGGTCAAACTCTGTCCCTGAAAATAAAAGTGTAGAGCTTCAGTTAATTGAGACCTCATTACGCTTTCCTTAAAATATCTCCTTAAAGCAACAACATGTAACTTTTTCACCTTTAAAATCGTCATTTCACAGTCGATCTATTACAATAACTTTGAACAGGGAGCTACCTGGCTCTCCTATCTCCACTGTGAGGCCCCATGCCTGTTTACTGCACTATGTAACTTCAGCAGCCGAGGTCATCTCGCGAGAAGTGTGTACAGCTTTACGACACTAGTTCACAAGAAGCCAGTTAGCTTGTTTCTGTACTGATTGATACGATGGCTGAGGCTAAGAGCAGGGGCATGTCCTAAGGGGTGGCCAGGGGTGGCATGGGCCCCCCTAAAAATCTGATTGGCCGACCCGAATGTCACCCCAAAAATCCTAATCTGTGATTGGCTATTTGCCCTGTCGGAGGCGGGACTTATGTTTAAACCAATTATTAGGTGCCGGGGCCAAAACATTGCCTTTCTTTGTGCAGGAGTTTGCATGCCTACTTTAAATTATATACATACATTTTCTGTTTGTGTCTTTAAAAAATTAATGAATTATTAATTATGACTGTTGATGTTTGAAAGTGTAAGTTACTGGTATTTATTTGTGTGTGTTTGTGCACACATCACACTTAAGGGCACCCCTGCACAAGTCAGTGCCCCTGTTTAGATACCCTAGTCATAAAAAGTCTGGACACGCCCCTGGCTAAGAGGAAGAGGAGGGTGATGGATGACACTAAGAAGAGAAAGAGAGTGACCAAGCAAGAGACAGAGTGTACTTCACTGCAGATATTATTCAGAACAGACTGGCTGTTAAAATACACAACAAGCTGTAGATGCTACCAGGGTCATATTTGCGAAAGAATCTGGTAATATTACCGAATATTTTCTGTCAACATAGTTGTTTGGCTTCTTACAACATCTTCGCTAGCTACAAACCAGCTGCTAAACAAATGCATGTTGTCCCAGAGGGGGAGGCGTAACAGCACTGTTTGTCTTCCATGGGCGCCAAAGTTGCACTAAACCAAAACTCCTACATATTGTTGCTTTAAAGCTGAATTTGAACTGTTCAACATTTGATCATTAAGGTTATAACTCACAATGTCTTTGCCCCTCTGTGTTTTCTTCCCTGAAAAGTCAAAAGAGAGAAGACAGTGAATTGCAGGTTTATGAAAGTGGCTGCATGCATAACAGTTTTATCTGTAAACGCTCTCACCTTTAGTTCTCTTCCGTCTGATGAATGCCACAACAACTATTAAGATGATTAAGAAGGCTGCTAAACCAGCGGCCACAATCACATATGGCAACCAATCTGAAAGGACAAATAAAAACATTGAAGTATTTTTAAAGTGTAGCTTACATGTGAAAAGTTCATTTTTCATAGAAGTCTCTGTTACAAGCAGTGGTTGAGAAAGCCTTGCTGGTTTCTACCACAGCCTGTAAATATGAATGTTTGAAGCCTGAGTGACGTCAGCCATCTGATACTGCAGGGGGCTCTAGAGGCTCATCGGCAGCAGCCGCCATGTTGGAAATGCTGTCTCAGCCTAACTTTCAGTTAACCTAACGACAGGCTGAGAGCTGGAGCTGAGGCGGGGTTTGAACCGTTACATTGAGCCCACCTGTCAATCATGTCAGCTACGTGCCTAACTATGGTTAGGATGTATCGCTCTCAAAATCAAAACAGAGCCGTCTTAAAAAAAATTCACCCCTCGTACAGTGTGTGCCAGTGAGGACAATAACTAATCAGACCTATTTAATTTGTTGTACCAGGTTGTAAACATGTCAATTTATGCTGTAAAAATGGCTTTTTTTAATGTGGTGTGTATGTGACTTCCGGTGTTCCTGGAGCCAGCCTCTAGTGGACACTCGAGGAACTGCAGGATTTTGCACTTCCGTATTGGCTTCATTTTTCAACACCGGAGGTAGCTTGGTGTCTATAGGCTCAAATATACATGCTGTTGAACCAAAAGCTTAAAAAAATAGAATTTATTTTCCTAAACTGACTTCAAACTACCGCTCACTTGTTTTTAAAAATAAGAGGATCTCAGAAAATCATGATAAAGATGCATCGTGAATCCAGTACCGAGAGAAGAATCGTAACATCTTCAGTCATTAATTAAACATGTTAACCTCATGCAACCTTTTTGAGAGCATCTTTAATTTATTTATTTTTAAACAATAATACTGGTGCTACTACAAGATGTGTGTCTCAGTCATAAGCGACCACCTCCAACCACAGCCATGTGTATTATCCAGATGTTCATGTTAGAGTTCACAATGAGAAAGAGATTCAGAGGGAACTTTTTTACCTGGTTTTGTGTCAGGGTCATCATCATTCACTTTACCTCTTTCTGTTGAAAACCTTCCTTTTTTTGTTGTTGAATTTACTATTGATAAACAAAACAGAAGGCATGATGATAAAATACAGTTCAGCACTTTAACTACATAATTAATCAAATAAAACCAGACGTACCTGTTTTATCACATGAGGACTTAGAGATGGAATTACACAGCTGTGTTTGTCCACTCTGTTTGTCTGTCACGTTACAAAACAGCAACTCCTCAATTTTTGACTTTTCAACTTCAGTTGTAAATATCACAGCGGCTGTACAGTCGACCTGTTGGTGTTCTGATATATCTGTCTCATCACCCTTATAATACCACTGCACTGTGTGGGCACAGACTCCAAATCTGAACACAGAGCAGTAATACCTGTAGGGATCATCCGAGTCAACTGTTGAAGATATTGTGAGAGAGAGTTGAATTAACCTTCCGCACTTTGTAATGAACTTATTCCAATGTTTCAGGATACTGAGAGATTTTGAAATTAAAATATTTGTATCAACACTTACTCTTAATAACATTCAGCAACAGAAGAGCATCTAGACCATGTTGTTTTCCTGATCTGAACTGTCTGCAGGTGTAACGACCAACATCTTCACGTGTGACACTTTTAATAACCAGAGAACAATCCTCTGAAACATTTAGCCTCTTAGCTTTAGCTTTAGCTTTCTTATTTTTACTTATATTCCCATGTGTAACCAACTCTTCTGCTGTACTCCCACTGTCATGACTGAAAAGCCAAGAAGTACTGTCACATTTCTGCTGATCTTTAATCACATTTCCACATGGCAAAGTGACATCATGTCCATCTTTGACTGTGAGGGAGGCGGTATCATCTCCAGTTACAGCTGATGAAGATCAAAGAGAAATATTGAAAAAAATCAATAAACAGTCATTTGTATTTGTTAATTGTTAATAGTTTTGTAAGAAGAAGCAAAAAGAGAGAGCAAACTTAGGTATCTGACTGAAATCGACGTCATCCATTTAAATAGGTTAAAAACATCTGCAGTGCATCTTATTGGTGGATGTGTTTTTTTAGTAAATTCTTACCTGTAAACAGAAGCATCAGTATCACAGATAAAGACATTTTAATCCTTCTGAAGTGACGGATCTCGCGTCGTGCTCTCTCTCGTTCACACACCCTCTACTCTCAAACACTCTAAATAGAGAGTTACAGCTTCAACTTCTCTTTTTTACTTCCTCTTAGCAACTTCAGTCTTTTTTTTTTCCCCTCATCTTGTTATTCTCTCTTGAACTCTGGAAAACAGGGCAGCTGTGACTCGGCCTGATCGTACGTCAAATATCAACAAGAAAACCCTTAAAGCACAAAATGTAAGAGTCTTCACAGTGTAATAAACATAAAAAATCATTGCCCAACACGGATGTGACGCCTCCGGCTCATGGCGCTGTATGCTGACCAATGGGAGGGTGATATCTTTAGCGGTTTGACAAACGTTTGTTCCTCATTGCGACTCGTTTTTTTTTTCTTTGTGAGAACTCATGAGAAAAGGTTTCAGAGTTGGTACAGAGTTGGTACATGAGCTATGTCCCGTTTAAAGGGCTGCATCCTTCCGAGGGCGCATTTGAAGACTGATAACATCACAGCGGGGCGTCGAGGGCTGTTCCATTTGGAAGGCTTCTTCAAATCTATCAATCATTATTTGTTTAGCGCCAAATCATATCAGGTTTTATCTTGAGGCGCTTTACAAAAAGCAGGTAAAATATTCTTCATTGTTAAGAAAAAAGGGATGGGGGAGATGGGATGAGATGCCTTTGTGTTCCTCATGTTCCTGTTGTCCACACTTCCTTGCTGCTGAGGTGGAGGTCGGCTCCTGTGACCACATTACCCCTGGCCACCACAACCTCCACTGGCTCCCGTTTCCCCAACAAAGCGAGTTCAAAGTCCTTCTCCTGACCTTCAAACCACCTGGGACATTGTTTTAATTTTTGTGTTTCCTCAACTTGTTTTTGTCTGAATGTAAATCTGTAAAGTGTCACAGTGTTACAATTTGTACTGCGCCTTTGACTCCTCTTCAACACAGGAGATCAGAGCTTCTTGGGCTGCAGGAAAAATGTGCTCATAACGGCATTTCAGGTCTCCATCCAGCAGGTGGTAGCAGAGAGTCTTGAGTCTTAAACCTGACCAATCCCCTCCTTCATTATGCAATGATGCTTTGAGCTAGTTAAAGCTTGTGTGAGGAGATTTTAGTTGATGAATAGAAATGAAAACAGAAACCTTTTAATAAGCTAAAGAAAATAATCTAACAAGACCTTTAACATAAAGATTGATTGTCTCTGTATAAAAGTAATACACAGAAGAACAATTAAGATCTAAACAATTAAAAAATAAGTAAATAAGCAAATTAGGATGAATCATAAATTACTTTATGTCTGAAGTATTTTGAAGTATAGCACCTCTCCAGCAGGTACAGGTATTTTGTTTGGCAAAATAATTCAAATATATCAGTCGCACAGAATCAGAAGTACTTTATTAATCCCAGTGGTTTATCTTGTTACAGTTTTTCTTGTCGATCATTGGTAGTCTTGATTTAAAATCTGGGGTCCTCCCGGTCTGAGGCCGAGACAAGAGCGGGTAAAAATGCTTTAGATTCAGAGACGATAGGGAGACTTTCAAAAAGTGATCTGATATGAGACGGGTCTTGAGACTAAGACCGATTTCAATCACTGCAACACGACTTACATATCCACAAAAGTCTCCAAGGTGAATGAATACATGAAAATACATTCTAACAAATATATACATAAAATATAAAATAACATGGAAATAATAGAATAAGCAATAAGTACCAAGTGAGAGTATGAAACTCTTCTCTTAAGATATACATATGATATCAGATTAATGACATGATAACTATCCGTTTGTCTCTCTATTGTTTGGTTTGTTGATGGTGGCATAGAGGCCGCTGGGATCAACGGAGGCTTCAGCACCAGGGGAGGAAACTCTCACAGTGCTGTACGTTACAGCTTCACCTTCATCGTCATCATCAGCCTTATGGATACGAGAATCAGCAGGAAACATATCAGAACAGGACATGACTCAGCATATTTCAACAGACTGAAATTAAGATGCAAGCAACAAACAAAGCAGGATCCTGAGGCCAAACAAAACACAAAAAGCACTTTACAATAACAAACTCATAACGTGGTTTAAAACATGCATACACTCTAAATATAGAGTTTCTTTATAAATCATCAGTAATGGATCCAAATGAGCCAACAGTTATTTATCTTGTACACACATTAACACATCCTGAGGGAACAAGTTAAGATACTAGTCTTTTGGGAACGACTATCTTGTGGGCATAAATCAATCATTTTGTAGATACAAGGTTTTATCTTTGGCACACATGATATTCATCTTTCAGTCACAGGTTTCTTTTTTATTAAGATTTATTGTTTGAGCTTTTAGCCTTCATCTGATAGGACAGTGGATAGAGTAGGAACTTGTGGAGAGAGAGTGGAGAAGACATGCCGGAAAGGAGCCGCAGGTCAGACTTGAACCTGGACTAAAGTCTCCGGACATGGGGCACGACCTAACCGCTAGGCCACCATCTCCCCATAAGTTGTTTTTTTGTCTGACAGGATATTCATATTTTGGGAACTAGTTATTAATCTTGTGAGAATTGATTACCTTGTGTGCACAATATCATTATGTTGTGGTAACAGGATCAATATATTTTGGGAACAAGTTATTATCCCTCCCCTGTGACCTTTGACCCCCAAGCTTAAAATGTCAGGTGTTCATATCTGAAAGGAGCCTTCAGCTAGCGCTCCTGCTTGGCCTCAGCATGTTAGCGGATATGGTTAGCATGCTACATGATGCATTTAGCTCAATATAAATGAACAGTTGTGTGTCCAATCAGAGCGCTTACCTTGACTTTGCTGTTACAATTCTTGGTGAAGATGACGGAGGCGTAAGCGACACCTTCTTCAGGATCCTCCTACGCAGTGAACACAACACACATTGATGATGAATCAGAAGAAGGGAGACTTTTAGCTTTGTTGTGTTATTCCACTTTTCTTTTCTCTGTTGGGGAAGTTAGACACTGCTAAAAAATGTAAGTGTGTCTCATTATGTGACAAGTACGATAAATAATCATCATGACGGTTGAATTTATGATTAACGTTGTAACTTACGATGTTTTCATCCCTCTGTGTTCGGCTCCCTGAAAAGTCAAAAGAGAGAATACAGTGAATTGCAGGATATTTAAATTGACTAGTGCATTAGTATCTGTAACTACTGCTCTCACCTTTGGATTTCTTCCGTCTGATGAATGCTGCGATGATGACTAAGAGTATTAAGACTGCTGCTAAACCAGCAAACGGCCACCACACTGAAAAGAGAATAAAAAACCTTGAGATATGACAAGTGTTCATATGTTTTAAATATGAAGAAATAAATGCATTTTTTAATCAAACTGTAGATCAGTTTTTGTTTACACCATTCTGCTTATTTAGCTACATTGGATACCTGAATCCACTGTATCTAGCTGTATGAAGAATGGACAACTCACTCTGCCTCCTACAAAAATGAAGTCAAATTACACCTGTGTCCGCCGCTGATATTTTTTTTAACCAGAGTCAGTGCAGGGATCATCTGGAAAAGCCATGATATTCTACGTATGCTTCAACTAACCTAAACAAACATGTAACTTACTGATAAAAATCCCTCAGGTGGGTACAGTCAGGGGCGTGGCCAGACTTTTTACACTGGGGTAGCCCACCTCGGACTCTGACTTATGGGGTGGCATGATGTTTGTGGGCACACGCACGCAAATGTAAAAAAAACTGTTTTTGTCAAGGACTAGAGAAAGGAAGAAGAACAAACTTACTGATTATTTGGATGTCATGTAAGAGTTTTTAGATCACGCTCATTCTGTGTCAATTTATGAGCAATGTGAAGCTACAAGCTAACTAAAGAGCGCCAACATTAGCATGCTAACACAACAATGTAGGCAACAGGCATCTGCAGCTCGAGCCGAGGACGATTTTATTCCCCCCTGCTTGGTTGTGTGATAACTTTTTGCTCTAGAGTTTTACAAAAGCTATTTTTCATACTTTAAAATGTAAATTCAAGTAATGAAAATTACATCACAGGAAACCTAATTTATGTGAAGTTTGAGGCTTCTATAACAGGTTTTACAAATTAACTTCCTTTGAACTTTGAACAGAAGATTAATCTAATAAGACCATTACCTGTTTCCTCATGTGAGGACTGATGTCTGACATTAAGTCTCAGTGTTTGTCCACTCCTAACATCTGTCACATTACAATACAGGGACTCATCAAGGTTTGACTTCTGATCAGGAAGAGGAGATGGTAATGACACGTCGGCTGAACAGGTGTGCTGTGTTGTCTCTGTGTCTTTCATATGACCTTTATACAGCCACTCTACTGAGTGCCAACATCCAGAATATGTCAACACAGAGCAGATAAAGAAGACGGACCATGAGACTCCACTGGTGAAAATGAGAGAGAAAGAAAAGAGGAGTTAATTTAACATTTTCACTGTAATCATAAATATTCTGTGGATTACTCTAGCTAGAGGTTGTTCATAAATATTGTCATGTTTCAGTATATTGTTTGATCAGAAAACATTTGTTTGTCAGTACTTACCGTCAATAACAGACAGAGAAACTTTAGCATCTGGACCATGTTGTTCTCCTGATCTGAACTGTCTGCAGGTGTAAAGACCAACATCCTGAGGTGTGACATTTTTTATAACCAGAGAACAATCCTCTGAGACATTTAGTCTCTCAGCTTTAGCTTTAGCATTTTTACTTAAATCCCCGTTTGTAACCAGCTCTACTGCTGCTTTCCCAATATCTCGACTGAAAAGCCAAGTAATCTGGTCACAGTTTGGCTGATCTTCTGTCACACGTCCACAAGGCAAAGTCACGTCATCTCCAACTCTGACTGTGAAGGAGGGGACGTCTTCTCCAGTAACTGCTGATGAAGATGAGAGATAGATTTAGAAGTAGAACATGTTTTTGTTGTTGTCGTTAAAGGTTTTGTGTGAGGATTAGAGTAAATGTAGCAGAGAACAGCACCTTAAACTTCTAAAGTAAAATCAATGTCAACCACTCAAAAACTGTTAGAAATGTCTTTAGTGTGTCTTTTATCAGTGTGTGTGTCTTTACACAGATTCTGCAAACATCACTGAGAGTCTAGAGTCTGTTGGGGCCCTACGCAAAAATCAACTAGGGGGCCCTCCAACCAGTGTTCATCACCATTCCATTATGTTCCATTATTACCTCCTCCTCTTGTGCCCCTGTCAGCTCTATATAACATATAATTATCAAGTTCAACTTCATTGTCACAAATTTTGCTGTGCAGCCATGTTTCTGAAAAGGTAAGAACATCAGGTTTGTGCTGGGCGACCCAGACTCCATTTTTGGAAGAAGGCTCCTGATATTCAAGTGTATAATTCTTATGCCTTTAGCTTTATCAATTATATATCAGATTGAAAGTGATAATGGGGTGGAGTGGGATGGGGGACGAGTCTGGGAGAGAGAGCAGGAGAGACACATACACAAGACAAGAAACAGAACAAAATAAAGCGAATAAAATAAAACAAAAACAAAAAAACTGCATTTTGGAACAAGACTAGCAGCTCAGTCTGCATAGCTCATAGAGAGAGGGTACAGAAACAAACAAGAGGTCCGAAAATGAGCAAGAGAGTGATAAATTAGGGGGGCGTGACCTAAACTAAGGCATCAAGAAAACAAAGAGACTGCATCCGGCTACAAAACGTTCCAGAAATAACTTTGGATGCATTCATTATTTTATGTTATCTTCATCTTATAAGTCTTTGTAACTACGGTGGTTTGACAGTTGCACATACATTTTCTTTAACTCATCGTTTATCTTCTCTGAGCCCGGCTACGTTACGTTTTGCGACAGCTGCAACTCAGTTGAGTTTGCGACACTGTTTACGGCAAACAAACTAGTCATGCTTTTGACAGCAAGACTTGGTAAGCAAGTATCAACTTGTTGACAACTTTAAAAGTTGTTTCACAAACAGAACACAAATACAGGCATTAAAGTGATAGGAAACAGAATCAGTCAGCATATCGTTCAGGCCAGATGAATAATGTACTGAGAGTATAGAAGATCAGGAGAGAGCAAAAGGCGTCTGTCAGAGAGAAGTGTTCAGGTTAGCATTCATGCTATGGGGAGTTAGCGTCGCCGAAGAAAGCCTCAGCCTCTTCGGGGGAGCGAAAAAGTTTTGTCTTAACATCATGGAACACTTTCAGCGAGCAGGGGAAAATCATGGAGTATTTGAAGTCCAGGTCCTGCAGCCTTTTCTTAATCGTATCAAACTGTCTGCGTTTCTGGACAAGAGCAGCACTGAAGTCCGGGTAGATGTGCACTCGAGTGTAGATACGGAGCTTTCTATTTTGTTAAGGCTGGCTTTAATAGTTTCATGTTTTAAATCCATGTGTGATATCATATCGAGCTTAATTTGCTGCCTCCCTTCTCAGATAGTTTGAGAGGAGACAGGTTCTTGAGCCATTGTGAGGCCTGTCTCCATGACCTCTCACAGTGAGTAGATTGTTTGTCTTGTGAGTTTGGTGAAAAAAGTTGCTCCTGATCAGGTTTCAGAGATGTCACAAGTTGCTGTGATTGTTGTCAAGACATTTAAGTTTCAAATATGTCTCAGAAGGACCTCAATAGAGAAATGTTTGAGCCAGCAGACTGCAGCTTGTTAGAGACACTCACACCACGGCAGCCATCTTTTAATCTTGCCTTTTGTGACATTGTTTTAAAGTTTTTGTTTCCTCTGTAGAAAAATGTAGCCTACTTGACTTGTCATTTGATTCCCTAGTTTGACCAATGTCCAATCTGTTGGAGGAGGCGTAGTTTATGACCTATACTGCAGCCAGTCAGCAGAGTGAGCCTCAAGCGCAAGTGAATTTTCAGAATGTCTCCAACAACAGCTATATTTTTTGAGTTAAATTCCTTTTTTTCAGGCGTCATGAGGAAGAAGAGATATAAGAAGTTTCATTTTTACCTGGATTTGTAGGAGGTTCCTCTTTTGTTCTTTCCTTTCCCTCTGATGATGTGCCTCCTTTTCCTTTTGTTGAGTATTATGTAAATAAACAAAACAGAATGAAAGTGGATAAATACTATAAACATATTGAAATAGAGTAAATGAGTAAATTGGAAAGTATGATGTAATCTTTGAACAGAAGATTAATCTAATAAGACCATTACCTGTTTCCTCATGTGAGGACTGATGTGTGACATTAAGTCTCAGTGTTTGTCCACTCCTAACATCTGTCACCTTACAATACAGGGACTCATCAAGGTTTGACTTCTGATCAGGAAGAGGAGATGGTAATAACACGTAGGCTGAACAGGTGCGCTGTGTTGTCTCTGTGTCTTTCATATGACCTTTATACAGCCACTCTACTGAGTGCCAACACTCAGAATATGTCGACACAGAGCAGATAAAGAAGACGAGACCATGAGACTCAACTGGTGAAAATGAGAGCGAAAGAAAAGAGGAGTTAATTTAACATTTTCACTGTAATCATAAATATTCTGTGGATTACTCTAGCTAGACGTTGTTCATAAATATTGTCATGTTTCAGTATATTGTTTGATCAGAAAACATTTGTTTGTCAGTACTTACCGTCAATAACAGACAGAAAAACTTTAGCATCTGGACCATGTTGTTCTCCTGATCTGAACTGTCTGCAGGTGTAACGACCAACATCCTGACGTGTGACATTTTTTATAACCAGAGAACAATCCTCTGAGACATTTAGTCTCTCAGCTTCAGCTTTAGCATTTTTACTTAAATCCCCGTTTGTAACCAGCTCTACTGCTGCTTTCCCAATAAAATGACTAAAAAGCCAAGTAATCTGGTCACAGTTTGGCTGATCTTCTGTCACACGTCCACAAGGCAAAGTCACGTCATCTCCAACTCTGACTGTGAAGGAGAGGACGTCTTCTCCAGTAACTGCTGATGAAGATGAGAGATAGATTTAGAAGTAGAACATGTTTTTGTTGTTGTCGTTAAAGGTTTTGTGTGAGGATTAGAGTAAATGTAGCAGAGAACAGCACCTTAAACTTCTAAAGTAAAATCAATGTCAACCACTCAAAAACTGTTAGAAATGTCTTTAGTGTGTCTTTTATCAGTGTGTGTGTCTTTACACAGATTCTGCAAACATCACTGAGAGTCTAGAGTCTGTTGGGGCCCTACGCAAAAATCAACTAGGGGGCCCTCCAACCAGTGTTCATCACCATTCCATTATGTCTGCTAGTGTCCGACATTTACTCCTCTTCCTCTTTCTGCCCTGTTTCTTTATTATCTCCTATAGACGGAGAACTCCTCTTCATTTGTCTTTGGTGACTTTCAGTGACAATGCTGTCAGATTGAGCCCCCTTAGGTGGTTTCCTACTGTCCGTTCTGCACGTCAGGTAACTGTTCCTCAGGTGTTACTGTCACTGTGGTGCACAGGGCCATTACACTTAAGAGTTAAGAGTAAACTGACAGGCCTGGATTATTTAAAGACTTATTTTTTAAAGTCAGCTGCTGATTTTATTGCAACATCTTTAACTGAAAAGGAGGGGACCCTTTACTTTTAAACAAATATAGGCCAACTTCCAAACTTTCTATCGTAGCTAAGACTCTAAAATCTCTTGCGAGTGATTAACTTAAAGGGATACTTCAACGACTGAAACATGAATCTGTATTGACATTGGGTCATATATGTAGTAGAAATGTGAAATAAATTTTGTGGTTGGGGCCTTGTTGACCAAGAAAAGGCAGAAAGTGTATTTTTGGCTCATGTGGATGAAAGACAACAACTCCCAGAATGCACAGCACCTCAGGCCACTCCCACTGATCTAGAGAACACCGCCTACCAAGCTAGCTACTACCAGACTGTAGTGATGTGAAAAGCAGTTCTTTTCAGTATAATGAATCAATAGAATCAGTTCAGTAAAGTGAATCGTTCTAAAGATTCGTTCACTGAATCGTTCATTACTTCTCTCCAGCTCTGTCTGTGAATCAGAATTTAATAAACTGAAACACGGCCGAACGTTTAGTTCTGCTCACGATCGTACTGAGAACAGCTGGTGGTGAATAATAAACTAATGAGCTGAGAATTTAGTTGGATAAAGCTCCAGTTACAAACTGAAAGCTGCTAAAACAATCACATTTATTTTCCCCGACCGTTCTGTTCAGTACGTTCAGTACACAAATCACTCACTGACTGACTGAGAGGAAGAGAGAGGAGGCGGAGCTCTCGTTCAGTTCCTTCACTGAACATGAACGAGCGAGACTGTGAGTCACCAGCCTCAGTCACACACACACACACACACACACACACACACACACACACAGTACTGACTGAAACACGATGGTTAGTAGATGTTAAAACAGTCAGCTGAGTTAAATTAAGTTGGATATAAAAGCCGTTTGTAAACTGACAGCAGATATAAAAAGCACAAACATTTTCTCGACACCTAAATGTTAAATAATATATTTTCTACTTCCTCAATTTTGGAGACATGAGAGGGAGAAGTAGGGGCGGGCTTTAGTGACACAGAGCTCCTGACCGACTCCGTCCTGTTGGTTCAGTCAGTACGTATCACTGACATGAGAGGAGAGGGAGGGCGGGCTTTGAGAGACTCTTATGGTCTAGAGAGAGACACGAGACGGGAGAGAGGAGAGAGCAACTGAAGTTGAGAAATGAACGACTCTTTTCAGTAAGTGATTCAGTTCAGTTCGTTCACCCAGATGATTCGTTCGTTTTGAACGAATCATTCATGACCGACACATCACTACCAGACTGAGATGAAATTAATTTCCCAGACAAATCCTAGTGAGTTTTTCCGGACAGAAAGGCGCTGGCTGTACGCTGTGTTGCTCTGCTCCCACTCAGCATCAGGCTCTCTGTCACTTACATGAAGTCGTTGATGCTGTTCAGAGAACAGATTTTGAATCCTGATAAAACATAACTGTTGATGTTTTCAAACTCAAAGAAAAAGCCACTGAACCTACCTTATATTTTAATGTCTCAGGGTCATGTATTTGAGTCTGTATCATCTTGTAAATACCTTGGTTGCTTAATTTATTATATGCTGTCTTTTAAAGGTCACATATTTCAAGTTTAAATAAGTCTCAGAGCTCCTCAAAACATGTGTGTGAAGTTTCTTGTTCTAAATCCACTCTGATCCTGTATTTGATCATGTCTATAAACCCCTCTATTTCAGCCCTGCTCAGAACAGGCTGTTTCTGTGTCTGTACCTTTAAATATGTAAATGAGCTGTGTCTGACCACGCCCCCTCTCTGGAAGGGCTTGGGTGTCTCTGGATTTCTTGCTCCATGTTCTATTGTTTACGGTGAGAAGGCAGACTCAGAGGGCAGAACAAACACCTAGCTGTGGGAGTGTCACCCACCTGGGGGAGGGGCTACTGCCCTTTGTGATGTCATGAAGGGAAAATCGCCAAACGGCTTGTTTGAGCACACATTTTCTGAAAAGTGGAGCAGGAAAAAGACGGAGAGGATGGACTCTTATTAGTGTTAGAAACACATGGAAAAGTGTATTTTGTGTAACATGTGACCTTTAAGCTCCACATACAGCAGCTTGTAAAGAAGTTAATTTGTGTCTCTGTTTTAAATGTAAATTAGATTCTTAATCTCAATGAGTTGTCCCTAGTTAAGAACATTTTAAATAAATGTACTTTTTATTTCCCTCATCTCCCCACTCATCATGACAAACAAGACTGCAACTCTGGAGAACTATTCTGATGACGCACACACACACACACACACACACACACACACACACACACACACACACACCACACACACACACAAACACACACACACACACACACACACCACACACCACACACACACACACACACACACACACCACACACACACACACACACACACACACCACACACACACACCACACACACACACACACACACACACACACACACACCACACACACACCACACACACACACACACACACACCACACCACACACACACACACACACACACACACACCACACACACACACACACACACACACACACACCACACACACACACACACACACACCACACACACACACACACACACACACACACACACACACACACACACCACACACACACCACACACACACACACACACACACACACACACACACCACACACACACACAAACACACACCACACACACACCACACACACACACACACACACACACACACACCACACACACACCACACACACACACACACACACACACACACACACACCACACACACACACAAACACACACACACACACACACAAACACACACACACACACACACACACACACACACCACACACCACACACACACACACACACACCCACACACACACACACACACACACACACATACACACACACACACCACACACACACCACACACACACACCACACACACACACACACACACACACACACACACACACACACACACACACACACCACACACACACACACACACACACACACACACACACACACACACACACACACACACACACACACATACACACACACACACATACGCACACACACACACACACAAACACACACACATACACACACACACACACACACACACACACACACACACACACACACACACACACACACACACAGTATCTCTGATAAAACAACGTCAGAGCAACACAACACACACACACACACACACACACACACACACACACACACACACACACACACATACACACACACACACCACACACACACACAGTATCTCTGATAAGACAACGTCAGAGCAACACAACACACACCGACCTATCCCATTTTCTCTTGAGTGTTTTCTCTTGGCTGATACTTAATGCTCACTAATGTTTCTTTTTTTAAATTGTTTCTCTTTTTGGTTTTGTCTTTGTTTTCAAATATTGTCTTGCAATAAAAAAAAAAATTGATAGAAACATCTGGACCGTGTCTTTAACCCTTGTATTGTTTTGTATATTATTCTTACCTGTGAGAAGAAGCATCAGAATCCCAAGTAGAAGCATTTTAATTCCTTTGATTCGACTGGTCATGCTTCTTGTTCTCTTGTTCTCACGCCTTCAAAGACTGAAGAGTTGCAGCTTTTACTTCCTCTTGTACTTCTAGTGACTTGAGTATTTTTCCCCCTATTCTTACTTCTTAATTGAAGATGTTTTGGTAAATAACTAAACAGCTAAAAATCCAGATGAGATCCGATGTGGAAAAAATGAGCTGCAGTCAGAGAAACTTCAAGTCAAACTGTGAACTTCCAAAATGGGTTGCATGTCAAACTCCTCACACACTAGACTGTGACGCTTCAGCCACAGAGTACAGGATGGTGACACTTGGGTTAGGTGGAGATATTTTAAGAAGCCTGAGAATTGGTTGTTCCTCCTTGCTGTGGGTTATTCTCTTCTAAGAAGTGAGGGGGAAGTGTCTGAGTGTGAATGTGGGTACATCAACAGAGCTGTGCAGGTTTGATCTCTTTCACAGATACCTGATGAGCACCATAAAGATCTTAAAATCAAGCTAGAGACGTTGTTCTAAAATCAAATGTTACGTCTTTGAATCATCTATGAAATAATTATATTGTTCAGCGTTCAGAACCAAGAATCCAACACCATAAGTCCAGTTTTAAAAAGTCAAAAAAAGCAAATTTCCAAAGAAAACAAGGTCAATCTGACACCCACAAAACAGGTAAATATCACAAGACAAACCACAGGAAACAGACATAGACGGAACGAAACACTAAAGTTGAATACTTTGCCTGCACATACATATAAATTCACACTAAACACCTTAACATGCAAACATAATCTCATGCATATACATAAATAAACGCGTACAGATACATACTCATGCATACATGATATACGGATGAGCTCATTATGTATGTGTGAATGAAACATGTTTGAGCAGAGTGTTTATCTATCTCACATCAGTGGCAGCTCTGAATGATCTGGCTTCTGTGGTCAGAGTCACTGCAGGGCAGGAAGTGTAACTAGTCAAGCTTTTGAAGTTTCTCAACTCCAAGTAACAGAGGAACACCTTTTTGATTCAACGATAATCTTTTTATAAATATACATATTATTAATCTACATTATCAATTCAAACATCAACGTAGAATCAATTGAACTAATAAACAAAACTCTTTACAAACCTGTAGCCTGCCACCTCCTCTACTAGTCCAACACACCTCAGGGAGGCTGGACAGTGAGCACTGGCGTCCCACAGCTACAACCCTTCACACTACCTCTCACCACCCTCCACTCACAGAACTCTTTCCTACCCTACTGCATGGCCCTCATAGCCCAAACAGAGTTGCCACTCAAGCATTCTTGCGCCATTGATGAGCGGAGGTATGTTTTGATGAGTGACGGGTGACGTGCTGGTTGAGGCTGCTTCAGTAGACATGGTGCTTGATGGCCCTGGTGACGTGCTGGGTGAGGCTGCTTCAGTAGACATGGTGCTTGATGGCCCTGGTGACGTGCTGGGTGAGGCTGCTTCAGTAGACATGGTGCTTGATGGCCCTGGTGACGTGCTGGTTGAGGCTGCTTCAGTAGACATGGTGCTTGATGGCCCTGGTGACGTGCTGGGTGAGGCTGCTTCAGTAGACATGGTGCTTGATGGCCCTGGTGACGTGCTGGTTGGGCTGCTTCAGTAGACATGGTGCTTGATGGCCCTGGTGACGTGCTGGGTGGGGCTGCTTCGGTAGACATGGTGCTTGATGGCCCTGGTGACGTGCTGGGTGGGGCTGCTTCAGTAGACATGGTGCTTGATGGCCCTGGTGACGTGCTGGTTGGGGCTGCTTCAGTAGACATGGTGCTTGATGGCCCTGGTGACGTGCTGGTTGGGGCTGCTTCAGTAGACATGGTGCTTGATGGCCCTGGTGACGTCCTGGGTGGGGCTGCTTCAGTAGACATGGTGCTTGATGGCCCTGGTGACGTGCTGGTTGGGGCTGCTTCAGTAGACATGGTGCTTGATGGCCCTGGTGACGTGCTGGTTGGGGCTGCTTCAGTAGACATGGTGCTTGATGGCCCTGGTGACGTGCTGGTTGGGGCTGCTTCAGTAGACATGGTGCTTGATGGCCCTGGTGACGTGCTGGGTGAGGCTGCTTCAGTAGACATGGTGCTTGATGGCCCTGGTGACGTGCTGGTTGGGGCTGCTTCAGTAGACATGGTGCTTGATGGCCCTGGTGACGTGCTGGTTGGGGCTGCTTCAGTAGACATGGTGCTTGATGGCCCTGGTGACGTGCTGGGTGAGGCTGCTTCAGTAGACATGGTGCTTGATGGCCCTGGTGACGTGCTGGTTGGGGCTGCTTCAGTAGACATGGTGCTTGATGGCCCTGGTGACATGCTGGTTGGGGCTGCTTCAGCAGACATGGTGCTTGATGGCCCTGGTGACGTGCTGGTTGGGGCTGCTTCAGTAGACATGGTGCTTGATGGCCCTGGTGACGTGCTGGTGAGGCTGCTTCAGTAGACATGGTGCTTGATGGCCCTGGTGACGTGCTGGGTGAGGCTGCTTCAGTAGACATGGTGCTTGATGGCCCTGGTGACGTGCTGGTTGGGGCTGCTTCAGTAGACATGGTGCTTGATGGCCCTGGTGACGTGCTGGGTGGGGCTGCTTCGGTAGACATGGTGCTTGATGGCCCTGGTGACGTGCTGGGTGGGGCTGCTTCGGTAGACATGGTGCTTGATGGCCCTGGTGACGTGCTGGTTGGGGCTGCTTCAGTAGACATGGTGCTTGATGGCCCTGGTGACGTGCTGGTTGGGGCTGCTTCGGTAGACATGGTGCTTGATGGCCCTGGTGACGTCCTGGGTGGGGCTGCTTCAGTAGACATGGTGCTTGATGGCCCTGGTGACGTGCTGGTTGGGGCTGCTTCAGTAGACATGGTGCTTGATGGCCCTGGTGACGTGCTGGTTGGGGCTGCTTCAGTAGACATGGTGCTTGATGGCCCTGGTGACGTGCTGGTTGGGGCTGCTTCAGTAGACATGGTGCTTGATGGCCCTGGTGACGTGCTGGGTGAGGCTGCTTCAGTAGACATGGTGCTTGATGGCCCTGGTGACGTGCTGGTTGGGGCTGCTTCAGTAGACATGGTGCTTGATGGCCCTGGTGACGTGCTGGTTGGGGCTGCTTCAGTAGACATGGTGCTTGATGGCCCTGGTGACGTGCTGGGTGAGGCTGCTTCAGTAGACATGGTGCTTGATGGCCCTGGTGACGTGCTGGTTGGGGCTGCTTCAGTAGACATGGTGCTTGATGGCCCTGGTGACATGCTGGTTGGGGCTGCTTCAGTAGACATGGTGCTTGATGGCCCTGGTGACGTGCTGGTTGGGGCTGCTTCAGTAGACATGGTGCTTGATGGCTCCGTGTCACCCTTAGTAACAAACTTCAGCATTGACCTTGTTATGACAAGAAATCCATCATACAAGCAGATTATTAAGACTTGTTTTGGTCTTAATGGTAAATTACACAATGAAATGAATGTAAATACTAGCCTCACAAAGATTAAAATGCAATTAATGCAAATACGACTACAACTAATAATAATATTCATTATGATTTGATTTGATGATATTTCTATATTTAAATATTTTTATATACTTATTTTTAGACTTCAGTTCTATATTCCTACACTGCTGTTTGCTGCTGCAACGCTTTAACTGTCTCCATTGTGGGTCAAATAAAAGATTATCTTAATTTATCTTATTTTATCTAATCTTATATGACTGTTATGAATTAAATTCACCAAGAGATGGCGACATTTTACCTCCATGAAAATAGCCCAAAACTTCTATTGATAGCATAGATTGATAGGCTATAAACCTGAGCCAACATACGACCACCAACTGGTCAGTTAACCACTCCTTCTTCAACAGAGGTGAATTAATGCAGTTAACAAGACATTCAATAAATGATAATCAGGGCCGCTGGAACATTTAATCTCCAGTCCACATGTAGACAGAATGATCCTCTCTTCTGTCTCATGATTAGCAGAATAGCAGCTGGGGTGTTTATGCCTCAAAGTTTTTATTTTTTATTTCAACAACATACCTTCAAGTGACGCACGAGCCTCCTCTGGTTTTGACTTTTTCTTTCTTTAGCTTGCTCCTGATTCATATTGTTGTTTGGAGGCCATCTCTCCACCTGCATCCAACTGCCTGTCTGACCGCTGATTGGTCAGATGCTGTGTGCGGTGTCAGATTACTCGTCTGTTTTTTTTTCTCTCCTGCCTCGGGCTGACTTGGTGCTCTACGCGCGCCTCACAGCAGCGATGCGCATCCTTTGCGCATTTGCAGAGAATGCGTCCCCTTGCGCAAAATGGGGCCCCCCATGGATCGTGGGGCCCCCCATGGATCGTGGGGCCCTACGCACAGCGCGTGTTCTGCGTGTAGGGAGTGGCGGCGCCGTACGTGAGTGTATGTTCAATCTCTCTCCATCAAACTGCTTAAACGAGTCATCAGAGGAAACTGACTTTAAACACCTGATGAGTCATTATTAACCGTGTTACCTGAGAGGGATCTTTATTTTTAAATAATCTTTATTTGTAATAGTTTCTAACAGTGTTCAGAGCTGTAATGGAGAGGTTACAGACGTTTACATAAACTCTGAGTTATCAGCTGATTTAGAATAACACATGTCAAGTCACCTGGATGATATTAAAACCTTTTGTCTTCATACCTGAGTGTAAATAATGATGAGTGGGGCGAGACGACGTGTTATATCGAGATAGAGAACTTTTTATTTTGACATTTATTTTTCAGTAGGAGGATTTGGTGTAGTGTTCCTTCGTTTAGAGACATTTTCACCAACATATTTATGAGACGTGACAGTTGAAACGTTGTTAATACGTTAGTGAATGAATGTGTGAAGAATCTGTTAACAGACGATCGCTGCCTTAAAGCCAGCAGGAACACGACAGAGGTCCCACAATTTACCACTTTAATCCTCTCTAGTTTCAGTCCAAACACACACAGCTCTTCTTTTACCCTCCTTTGTCCTTTGGAAATGAAAACCTGATACTAAATTGTGTTTTTAAAATAGTTTGAAGTAGAAAAAGCTTCGCAATCGCGTTAAATCGCACGGCTAGCAGTGTTTTCTAATCTACCGCCGATACAAACGGGGGCGTGGTCACTCTGGCGAGCCGGAAGTGACGTTCGTCTGCTGTTATGAATATGTGCTGATATCACTAGATTTATTCACCAGTCAAATAGCATTTTGTTTGGGTATCATTGTGTTACACTAGCAGTTCTCTTTCACCAGCAGAGGGCGCTATATGGATTACAACAAGCATCATCACTCTGCAGAGGGTCAAGCGGTGACGCACGAACATGTTCAGTTACTTTCCATTTGAGTGAGCATCTTGTCTGCATTATATATGTTTTCCACAAGTGTTTGATAACTGCATTTGAGGGATACATGTTAAAATGTGTATGTATCTATCTATCTATACCGATCAAACATAGATTCAAGAAATATATCGGCTGATATATCGATATGTGATTTTTTCTTCTCTCCCAATAACGGTATTGGTATCGTCCCCTTAAAATCCGTATCGGTCGGGCCCTACTTAACACATGAGAGAAAACACTGCACTGTTAAATTAAAACCATGAAACTTTTAGTTTTAATGGAGACACTCACTCAATTAATTACATTTGAACATCAGGAACAGAACAGGTTTTATTGGCAAGTACATTTACACATACCAAGAGTTTGACTTTGGTGTTTTGGTGCAAAATACTGTACACAGAAATAGAGCTAAAATAGTAAAAGGTTATAAAAACAGCAGTGCTCCCACTGGCAGGGGACTTAAATAGAAAAAAGATAAAAAGATAAAAAGCAATAAAAAAATATATATGACGGAATATAAAGAAGACAAAATGTAAAGAAAATGCAGCGATGGAGCTGTACAAGTTTTGCAGGTATGTTCATGATTTACAGAGCAAATATTTTACAGTATGAACATCCAACCAGTGTGTTAATGTCACATAAAATCTGAATTAGCTTTCACATCACTGTTATGTTCTCTGACTGTGGGGCTGGACAAGAGTCTCTGTGTGTGTGTGTGTGTGCTGTGGGTATATGTGTGTGTGTGTGTGTGTGTGTGTGTGTGTGTGTGTGTTGGGGGTCATTAATGAGGCTTGCAGAAGAAACAAGACTGGTGACCATAACTGTTTTTAAATCATACAAATAAAAGTGGTATAGTTTCTTTTGTGTGGTTACAAAAATTGATGACAAAGCTTTTCCTTAAAATAAATGTTTGAAATCTCAAAGCCCTGACACACCAAGCAGACGGCAAAGAACTAGTGACGATGAAGGCAGCCTGTGGCGTCTCCTCACGTCTTGGCCAAAAAGTTGCACTTGAACACAACGCAAAGACTACAGTATACAGCCAACCACCACGTATGTTCTGCACGTGAGAGGAAATAACTCTTCATGCCAGCAGGGGGCGGTAGTCCCTTGTTATGATAAGAAAAGACGCTGTCACTCACCACTCGTATTATAGGTCGTCTATTAATGGAGAATAATGTCTGATAAAAAGTAGAAAATGGCGCTGGCGTTGTCAGCTCTTGGTCTTTTAGTGGAAAAAGAAAAGAAGAGGAGGAGGAGACAAATAAGGAGAAACCGCACTAATGGGTGAAAGCATGGAGACTACAGAGACATGCTCAAGAGGCTTTACTGAACCTGAGAGAGCTGGAGAGAAATGAAACCTCCCAACAGCCAATAAGAGAAATTCCCCACAGCGACTGCAATTCAATATTTCGAATCGGCCAAAAAAAGGCCGTCATGGGGCCGATGGGTGGTGACAGAGCTGGACACACTGCAAAAACTAGGGCGACAACCGCTCACTGATGGCCGATGATCTCCTTGGTGTGTCACAGCTTTTTTTTTTAAAAAGCAAACGGTTAAACTGGAAGAAAATTCTTAAAATGAAAAAGCATGAAAAGTATGTTTCATGTTGAACACTTTTTAAGATGTTACAGGTCCTGATGTTGTCGCTCACTGGTTTCCTATCGAGGCATCATGGCCTCCAGAGTTTTCATAGACGACTGACCCATCGTCTTCGTCTTCATCTTCATCGTTTTGCACCTTCGGAAAAAAAAAACTACATTATCTGATCAAATGATAATATATTCTCAGTTTTCCTGCAGCCTTTTAGGATTAAGAACTGCTTTACTCTATTTAAAGAACAACAGTGAACCTTTGAACAGCACAAAAACAAACGGCTGATTATTCAGTTGTTAAACTCACAGCATTGGGATCCGTCTGAGGTTTGTTCTCTGTAGAGACAAAAGAGTTCATATTGAAAATCCAGGTTCAACAAATATTCAAATGAATAAAAAAATGACATTTGAAAAGTTCCTCACCTTTAGTCCATGACCATATGTTGACTGCCACAACGATGATGATGAGTGCAGCTAACAGCACACAGAAAATAATGAACCTGAGCAAACCTGTAAAAGAGACTGAAAACACAGAACGCATTAAGCTGCAGTGTTTGTTCAAAATGATTAATTAAAAAAGAAGCAGCTTGTACTTTTTAAAACTTGAATATCTCTAAATGCAGCAAAGAGTTGATCTGACATTTGTATTTTTGTAGACTTCATGAGGAGGTACAGACAGATATTTAAATAGTCAGCACAATAGAATAGACTGTGAATATCATTGGGCGAAGCCTGAGTGGTGTCATCCATCCGCTACTGCAGGGGCATGTTGGAAATCCTGTCTCAGCCTAACTTTCAGTCAACCTAATGACAGGCTGAGAGCTGGAGCTGAGGCATGTTTATTTATGCTGTAAAAATTGGCTTTTTTTGATTGGCTGTGTGTGTGTGACATCTGGGCCTCTTGTAGCCTCTAGTGATCATTTTTCAACATCGCAATTGATCCAAACCCACCTCATCAAGCTTGCTTTTCATTGCTAATGTGAGAAATTCTGTTTATTTGATGGATTGCCCCTTGAGATGAACCATCTCGTTTTCGAGGGGGTCCAACACAAAAACAAAAACACAACATTACAGTGTGATACAGACAGTCAAGCACAAAATACACAAATAAACATAAAGGCTCTCAAACACCCATCCGCCCACGTATCCCTCCCGCAAAGCCACAGCACCCACACAAAGTCATCAGAGGTAGATGCACATAGTGACATATGCAATCAAGATATTAGAGGGGTAAGAAGACATTACCATTAGAAGCTGCAACATGGTTTTGTGAGAAAAGGTAGCAGTGACTTCTTAAAAATGTGTAGTGAATTTATTGTTCTGATGTTTGTCGGTGGATTGTTCCAGTCAGAGGGCGCTTTGTAGTTGAATGCTCGTCTGCCGATTTCTTTATTGGGTTTGGGAACAAGAATCGAATCGAATCTGGGTAGTGGTGTTTTTGTTTGACTTATTTTGAATTTTACTGTGCACATTTTCTGAGAGATTTTTTTTTTGTAGAAGTCTGATTTAGCGTTACGTGTTTTTGTCTTGCATAAGTTTCTTAAGGATCTGTAGTTGTGGCAGTCAGCAGGGTCCTTGGTTTTTCTGTATATCTTCCAGGTTTTATCCCGTTGTTTGAACAGACTAATCAGATCAGAACTGATCCAAGGCAAATGTCTTCCTTTCAGCCTGACTTCCCTCCAGGGGGCATGTTTATCAAGAACTCGTGTGAGTTCAGAATGAAAATAATCCCAGCCATCTTCAGCATTGGGTATAAGTTGAAACCTGTCCCAGTTTATTTCGACCAAGTCATATATAAAGTTATCTAAATGAATGTTCTTGCATTGTCTAAATCTAATGTATTTTGGAGGAAGACTGGGGGTTTTAATCTTCCACAAACAAAATATAGCTGAGTGGTCACTAAAACAATCAGAGTACCAGATTTAATAATTCTGCCAGGATGAGTGACAAGGATCCAGTCTAATAATGACTTCGACTTAGGGTCCTGAACTCTGGTAGGCTCGTTGATCAGCTGGATTAAATTTATACTGTTCAGCAAGTTTTTATCACGTGAAGAAGAACGGTCTAGCCAGTTGCTGTTGAAGACGCCTAGGAAAATCATTTCACACGGATGTTCAAATGAAGTAAGGGCAGATACTATGCATTTGGTTGACTCGGGATGAACAGGTGGGGGTCTGTATATACTTCCGATAATGAGATGTCTTAACTTAACAAAAAGACATTCAAAGAATGAATGGGGTACTTTAGGAGTGGCAGGTTCAGACACAAAATGAAAAGAAACATATATATAGCCACAGCTCCTCCTCTTGTGCCCCTGTCAGCTCTATATAACATATAATTATCAAGTTCAACTTCATTGTCACAAATTTTGCTGTGCAGCCATGTTTCTGAAAAGGTACGAACATCAGGTTTGTGCTGGGCGACCCAGACTCCATTTTTGGAAGAAGGCTCCTGATATTCAAGTGTATAATTCTTATGCCTTTAGCTTTATCAATTATATATCAGATTGAAAGTGATAATGGGGTGGAGTGGGATGGGGGACGAGTCTGGGAGAGAGAGCAGGAGAGACACATACACAAGACAAGAAACAGAACAAAATAAAGCGAATCGTGATGATGTGCCTCCTTTTCCTTTTGTTGAGTATTATGTAAATAAACAAAACAGAATGAAAGTGGATAAATACTATAAACATATTGAAATAGAGTAAATGAGTAAATTGGAAAGTATGATGTAATCTTTGAACAGAAGATTAATCTAATAAGACCATTACCTGTTTCCTCATGTAAGGACTGATGTCTGACATTAAGTCTCAGTGTTTGTCCACTCCTAACATCTGTCACATTACAATACAGGGACTCATCAAGGTTTGACTTCTGATCAGGAAGAGGAGATGGGAATGACACGTTGGCTGAACAGGTGCGCTGTGTTGTCTCTGTGTCTTTCATATGACCTTTATACAGCCACTCTACTGAGTGCCAACACTCAGAATATGTCGACACAGAGCAGATAAAGAAGACGAGACCATGAGACTCCACTGGTGAAAATGAGAGCGAAAGAAAAGAGGAGTTAATTTAACATTTTCACTGTAATCATAAATATTCTGTGGATTACTCTAGCTAGACGTTGTTCATAAATATTGTCATGTTTCAGTATATTGTTTGATCAGAAAACATTTGTTTGTCAGTACTTACCGTTAATAACAGACAGAGAAACTTTAGCTTCTGGACCATGTTGTTCTCCTGATCTGAACTGTCTGCAGGTGTAAAGACCAACATCCTGAGGTGTGACATTTTTTATAACCAGAGAACAATCCTCTGAGACATTTAGTCTCTCAGCTTCAGCTTTAGCATTTTTAATTA